TGGTCATAAACATCGGTATTGCCTTTCCCGAATGTTGAAAGATTTGGATATCTGAAAATTCCCGATCATTCATGAATACTTCCATGTTTAAAAATATGCGGCTTGGTCACTGACATTTGCTGTACAGATTTAGATGTTCTGTGTCTGAGCTTCTCGACACAAATATTATTCTCCTAAGAATATTTACACTATAAAATATTTATTCATGAAAAATGCTTAGAAAATGAAAACGACAAATTCCAGAAGAGCGTCCCGCGGCCCAGTATAATTGATGCCAGGGCCCACTACTGGGCCACGGCCTGGCGGTTGAGAAGCACTGGTCTAGACACACAACCTCCTTACTAGCGTCAGATAAAAGTTGCGGCTAGGACAGTGCAGAGGGCGAAAGGGCCCTCCCCTCCCAGCAACTCTTATCCCCATCAAGCATAACAATTCTTCTGTCAGTGCAACTATAATGCCCCTAGGTACGGTCTGTTCGACTTTGTGGCATATCCCCACAGGGCAAAGGCATACATTCCATTTCTGATGTGGGAGCACTCACAGGGCAGATCTCCAACCATAAGGTGACCATGAGAATGTTGCTCGGTAGGGGAACTTAATAACTTAAATTTGTTTAACACGCGGAAGTATTCTACGTATTTCTAAAGTGCAAAACTGCACACCAATTTAGCCGGTGATCGAACTATGAACCCCTAACACTTGCATCACAATTGTTAGTCATTTACTTTTACACACACGTTCTATGATGAGGTATGGTGGTCGTGAAGGAAAAGAAAAAGAAACTCAATCTCAGTATTTTAACGGATTTACACGTTTTCAGCCCTCCTGACTATTAAGAGCGGCTTCTGGAAAAATATGTTTGTCTCCCTCTCTCTCTGTATGAACGTGCGCATCTGTAGGCTTATGTATGCTAAAAATGTGCTTCGCTAGCCCTGGATGAATGGACGAACTTTAGCCATACGATTATTTGGTGTTTAAGAATGTATCCACCAGAGGTCGGTGAACGGAGAACATGGACATTCTAGCTCCAAAAATAAGGGCCATTCAAATGGTACCAAAAACCTGCGACTTCGTCGAAAATCGGGCGTCACCTATTTCTATCAACTTTCACTACGCTGTGGATAGCATTTCCATAAATAAAACTGCGATGTTGGTTTCTTCAAGAAAATAATACACGTTCTCTAGCGGCTTTGAACCACCAATCGTGGCTACGAAAGTAGGAGCAATGTCTTCATATTGATTCTTATCCCTGTGGATTATCCCACTTGGCTGTAGTAGCATGCAAACCGTACAGCGCCCAACACAACAGTTAGTGTTTAGTAACACATACACGTTAGAGAACACCAAACACAACACAAGGAGATCAGTTGTACCTGGTGATGGTGCTGTTGAGATGTTTGTCGGACATAGCTGTTTCTCTCCCGACCGCTGTTGGGGCTGTTTACTGTGAAATCCAATTTTGTGTAACTCCGCCTCAAATCTGGGGGCCCAGTGAAGTGATGGTGCTGATTATCATTCATCACTGCTGTGGTAGATGGCAACACTGACACCTTCATTTACTCGTATGACTCTTTGAATCAACTTAACTTGAATAAGACACTGTTGCAATTCTTCTTTTTGAATGCCTTGTAACGTAAATAACTGTTGATGTTAAAGACAATTGTTGTATGCCATTTCGGTAATTGTTTTGCAGCTGCTTCTTTGGCATCAGACTTCTAATATTGTCATTCTTGTTGTGTTTTTATATTCAGAACTTTGATGTCTGACTCGACATTAAATCCATTTCAAGCCCAACACTTTACAGAACGTCACTTGCAACAATAACACAACAAACTAGTTAGAGAGTTCTACAGTGTAGCAAAACTTCTTCCATCTGAATTCCCAATTGGTTATCTTATTTAAATATATGTTTATAATTATAAATTCAACCGGTTATGTGTGCAGGATTCTAACTTCGTGTTTTCATTTCCGGTACTCAAAGCCACGTAAATTAGGGAAAAATAAAATCTGAGTTTATATTATTATAATACACAGCGACACTATAAATAAAACAGGCTACAATATTATATTAATTTTAAAAGGAGATCTCAAAATCTTATGAAAATATACATTTTGATTCAGTGTTAAATAGGTGTTCCAAGTGTTTTTAAAACAATTTACTATTAAAAAATGTGAACAGAGTTTTTTAACGCCACGAATATGGACAGTTTTTCACGTAGTGAATATACAAATGCATCGTTATCAGAACGTCTCTACTTCTCAAACAAGTTCGCAAACTTTCCAATATAAATTAATTTATTTATTCACTTATTTATTTGTGTAATAATTTATAATGGGTTAAATCACCTCTTTCACACACACCACGTCTTCTCTCTCTCTCTGTTCTCTGGAAAATTATAAATGCTTCTCACGGATAAGATTTCTGAAAATAGTGTAATTCCATGCGCAAATTTTCTTTCCTAACTCTTAATATTTCGGAAATGAATCTTAGGAATTCTTCTATGTAACTGCCTCAGAATTTAATATTATTCGAAGTATCGTACTTCTAATTCTGGAGTCCTCACTTCACCTTCTTGCACACTTCACTTAATTCGCCGGACAGCAGTCAAACGAGCGCATGAAGTCAGTTCATTTATTGCGTCATTCTTTGCGAACTCTCTTCTCACCCCCATGCCGAAGGTTCAGAACAAGGTCCTTTCCTGAAAATGGGAACCTGAAATCAGATCGACGCAGTTTAAAACAAGTTACATGCGATTTATGTTAATTAAGCACCACGCCATGACAATGTATGGGGAAGTGGAAACATAGCTCCACGAATTAATTGCCTTGGCACAATATGGGTCTGAAAAGTCAGTATGTGAGATGCGAGATTCTCACGTCGGTACCAAGATCAGGGTCTTCTGGTATATGACGACGTGCAGTCTGGTGGAAATGCAACAACGTTTAGCACGAATCGAGAGCTTTCTGACTTGTATTCGGGAGATATTTGCTTCGAATCTCGGCCGGAACATCGCCTATCCTGACTGGGGGTTTTGTGGTTTTCCTCAGTCCCTCCAGGAAGTATTGTGACGGTACCTCCTTACGTCACTACCGCATTCTTCCACGTCCTTTTCAATTCATTATTTACCAATCATCCTACCACTCGACGCTGCATCGGCTGACGTACTGACAGCGTCGTAGAATAAACCACAAAAAAAGTTGGTGAAATGCCTTCACTCGTTCAACCACCGGAATCGTGGGTTCGAATCCCATTCGAGGCATATCTGTCTACATTTCTTCTGTTTGGGTTGTTCTGTGTAGGTAGCGACTTTGTGATAGGGATGATAACCGTCCAAGGAATCCTAACAATTGTCTGTAAAATTCAGAATTTCAGAATTAATTCTAAATGGTAACAGGCCAGAAAGCTTAATACGTCAGGATAGAAAAAAGTTGATCTTTGGTGTTAACTAACTAACTTCACAGTGCTAAGCCCTTCTTGAGAAGCCGTCAATTGTGCAGTCACTCAAAAACTTTCCAGCATTTTATGGAACCCGAAGGTTCATTACAGTGTTCACATGAGCCCGCCACTGGTTCTTGTCCTGAGCCAGACAAATCCAATCCACACCATCCTATCCTATCTCTCTAAGATCTATCTTAATATTGTTCACCCACCTACGCCTTGGTTTTCCCAGTGGTTTCTTTCCTTCTGACTTTGCCACCAATATCCTATATATATATTCCTCTTCTCCCCATTCATGCTATATGCCCTGCCCATCTCATCCTTCTTGACTTGATCATTCTAATTATACTTGGTGAAGAGTATAAGTTATGAAGCTCCTCAATATGCAGTTTTCTCCAACCTCCTGTCACTTCATCTCTCTTCGGTTCAAATATTCTTCTCAACACCCTGTTCTCAAACACCCTCAGTCTACATTCCTACATTAATGATTGATCTTTGGTGCTACTAAAAGTAAGCGGCGGATAATAGCCCTTAAATTGAATAAAATTAAATTTCCATAATTCAGTCTTCCCCAAATTTAACAACGAAATCCGCTTCCTTTGGTTACAGTTTCCCCAGAAATTAAATTCTGAAATATTCCCGTATTTCATATATGTGTGATTATGTTACCATATAATAAAGATTTTACGTGTTTCCTGTTAAGAAATTTAACCCAAAGACAAGAAAAAACCCAAAAGTTCCCGACAGATTTTCGGATAGAAGAGTGGGAAGCGCGCCGCATTCCGTGAAATGTGACATGCCTACGTACAGACAGGTTATTTTGGATTCCTTAGACATTTTAGTTCATCGTACGCCCGGGCCTCAAGTAGCTAGATGCCAACATGTTCTGTGAAGGCAAGGGTGTTCCTTTGGCCAGGCCTTAACCATTCCCTCGGTGTGGTCTTGGCTTGCTTATCGACGCTGTCAGCAGCTCACAATGAACTGGAGAGGATTTGGAAGAAAGTGGTTATAGCATCATTTTACGTACTATTGCGGCATTTTCCTGGTGAGCTGAGGAAAAACACGAAATCCCTCATTGAGGGTAGATGGTTTCCGGACCTAGACCTGAACCTGCGACCTTCCGAACACGGAGAGTCCTACCAAATTCAATACGACGTTAAGGGCAAAGATATCCCTGTGACAGGCCGTAGAGGCCCATAGGGATGTGAGACGTCGAGGCTCCTACATTTTCTAGACATTCGGTTCACAGATGGCAGTAAGATTGTCAGCATTACGCGCCGCCCGCCCTTTACCACCCCCCAGGAAGATTCCTGGTACTCATTTCTGTTAGAGGCTGAATCGACCCCAGGGCCATAGTGCGGCTAGGATTACGTCAGTTTGAAAAATCAAGATAGCTTCCTTGACTAAGACGTTCAGTATATAATTCTGTATCAGACTGAGGTTGTAACGCCCTGACGTTTGTCGCCTCCATCTTCAGGGTCGGAGATTAGGACAAACAAGAAACCAGCTCAGATTTACGCCTGATTATTCAAGCTTCTTTCTTTGTTCACACTTCGACCCTGAAGGTGAAAGCAGTATGTTCTTCCGAAACGTCGGGCTCTTTAAGAACTATTCGGCGTTACAGCCCAGAGGACCGTACCCTTCATAGTTACCGCTATGAGAGCCACAAATCCAGCAATTCTCTATGAAGGAGGAACACAGCATATTTCATGACGGCATTTGTGAAAATGTCTGGTTAGTAGTACGCTCTAGCGAGAAGTGACCTTACTACCCACTACATGAGAAGTTGGACTGGACCCAAGAACAGCCACAGCTGAGAATATTTTTTAAATGCCACTGCAGGAGATCGAAACCCGGCCGTCATGCTGTAGGCACTGAAATGAGACGCCCCGAGGAGTTTTTAATAAGAATACACCTGACAGGCAGACAGCAAGGTGATCTCATAATCCTACTTTTATTTTATCAAAATGAGGAAAGTTGGCTAAAACGCAGTTCCTACTTCACATAAACCAACGCGTCCCATTACAATTTCCAGTTGGTTAACATGGAGCATAATTGTTGGAACGCTAACAGTCGTTCAGATAGTCAGGAAATTTTCCGACTTCTGTAGACCCTGAAAGTGAACTGAACTGTACACACGGCCCCTCCACTCTATTATATAATGAGCCAGCTCAGTCCAATCCACTCCCTAATATCCTTCTTTCAGATTTATTCGAACATTGCACTCCCATATAATTCTAGATCTCTAAGCTAAACTCTTCCTTTCACGTTTCCAAATCAAAATCTTGTATGCATTTCTAACCTTTCCCACAGGTTATATTAGGTGTAGGAAAAATTAGTTCCCGAGGGCATTAAGCGATATAAGAGCACTGACAAACATGCGTCCAGTAACATATGAAGAAAACAATCGAACTGTGTGTTTTCTGCGTTCATTTACGTTATAAAATTTAATTTAATACAATCTAAGCTTAAAATAATTTTAATAAAATAAGCGTCCTTAGCTATGTGCTGTTCGGCAGAGTTTCGGCCTTTACGAACGCGTGACAGTTTCTGCAGGATAAATGGAATGGCAAGCCGATACGAGGAGAGCCTAGGAAAAGAGGAATGAGTGTGTGAAGCGAGAACAAGCTTCACTGCCTGTGCCGTGAATGGAGGAAGAAGACTGGAAATGTTAATTATGATCCCTTAATTTCCTCTAATTAAGACATGAATTCGACATTCGTACTTTTATATCCATAAAAGAATAGTGACCCGTAATTTTCTCTCTGTGTGTTATTTTACGGCCCGCCTTTGCGGTCTAGCGGTCAGAGTTCCTTACTACAGATCCAGAGGTCCCGGGTTCGATTGCTGGCGCTACCAGATTTTCTGAGAAGTAGTGGGTCTGGAACGGGGTCCACTCAGCCTCGTGAGGATAATTGAGGAGCTATTTCAAGGAAATAGCAGCTCCGGTCTAGAAAACCGAAATTAACGGCCGTGTGGATCTGTTGCGCTGACCACTCGACACCCTCTATCCACAAAAGTTGGCACTAACTTCGCCGACAAGCGGCGGTCGCTCGGTCGGTATAGTTCTTTTGCGGACTACAGGCCATGGAGTTTGTGTTACTTTACGACCCTGTCAGTATTTAGACCATATAGAGAATAATAAATATAGTATTATGATTGCATGGTCCGTTCTAAGGCAACGGCTGGGTAAACACATTTCCGTGGCAACAGACACGCAAGCAACAATCAAAGACATTGTTGGAAACGGGGTTCTCAACAAAGTCAGTGCCAAGGCTATATAGTGAGAGCCAGCAGCCGTGGGTCGTAACATAACTTTGACTTTGAGCAGTGAACAATCCTGAGGTGAGATTGGACAGTTGCCGTCATGAGTTAGTTCCGTAGTCTAGGGGTAACGTTCCCACCACGTGACTCAAGGTACGCGGGTTCAAACCCGGCGGAGGTCGTGGAATTTTTAAGGGCGGAAAAATTCAGGGAGCAAGTCCTCCGGGAGGGACTTTAAGCCGTGGGTCCCGTGTCGCAGCTTTACGGCACGTAAAAGAACCTCATGTCCCAAGGGAACCACTGGGCCAAATTCAGGACATTTCCCGCCCAACAGTAGTCTCTAACGTCTCTGGTAGATGGGGGAAGCATCGAGATACCGCTGAGCCAGTAGAGGCCGAACTCGCTGGCTTAGTCGTGACTGATGGCACGCACCAGTACCGGTAGGGAATAGAGACTGGTAGAATATTATAGCGGGACGCACAATGAACCAACAGTTGGTCTAAGTGCATGGGGAAACCCACCCTCTCTAAATACAATACAATACAATAGTTGTGAGACAGTCGCCAGCAGGTAAGGACGTGAGCACGGAAGCAGAGGACACTGTTGGAATCCGTTACCAGGTAATGGCTGGTAAAGACATAGCACACTTAGCCGAGTGTGTGAATTAACGAGAGCGTTATATGTAATTGCTTGTAGCTACGATTTATAAGAGCACAATAAATTCAATTACCAATTCAAATCCCGTACCTAGTCACTAACACATGATAATATGAACAGCAGATTGAAACGGATTTGAAAGGAGGCTGTCGTAGCCTATTCATGGTTTTATCCTGGTATTTGCCTGGAAGGACTACAGAAAAACATAAAGAACCTCAGTTAGGTCAGACGGTGCCCCTGTCGAGATCAGAACTGGGCACCTTCTGAATACGAGACTACAGCGTTAACGATATGCCAACCTGCTCAATGTGGCACATGAAGATTATGTGAGCCGGTCTCACGGCCGTCAACCATAGCAGTTGCCCAAACCTGCTCTATAACCATGGGCACAGCCAGGATCATTAGCAACGGGGGAGCGGATACAGCACGAAAATTTGCTTACACATTTATGTTTAAGTCATTTCAGCTTATTTTTACTTGTTGCCATAAAGTATTCAGGACAAAAATATGTTTAATTATTTTAATTCTTGATATTAATAAATCTACTAAAAAAGGTAACGTTAACCCAGTGCTTAAGTAATTAAACATTACGTCACGAAAACCTGTGGAGGAATGGATGTATAGATCCACGTGTTCTTGATTTCGGCACTAATTGGAGGTGAGTTGTCAGCTTCAGGCCCCAGTCGCTTTATCCCGGGGAAATAAGCCCCTCTTTCCCATTGTATATGAGGCTGTGTGAGCCCCAGAACCGGTCTGGACGACGTGGAGAAGAGAAAAATCTTGCATCTTCCGGGACTCGAACTCCAATCCCTCCGCCGCCCAGCCCTTAGCCAATCGCTATACCGACTTCGTTATTCCGGCATTCTTGGTATTAATAACAAACTTCATGGAGCTGAGCGCTTCTTGAGAAGTCGCCAGACCTTCCCAACATTTTACAGAGCTCGAAGGCTCATTACCGTGTTCACAAGAGCCTTCCAATGGCCCTTATCCTGAGCCAGATCAATCCAGTCCGATCCATTTTCATACTATCCACTCACCTACGTCTTGGTCTTCCTAGTGGTCTCTCTCCTTGACATGTTCAATCTACTTATACCTGGCGAAGGGTACAAGTTATGAAGCTCCCCATTATGCAGCTTTCTTTCTTGGTATTAATATTTGGTATATTTCCAACCTTTTTTACTTTGGTTTTTTTTAATGAATTGAAGGTGATGCAATGCCTGGCTTGCCTCCTCCCCGGCCCCTATGCCCATGACCTACACGCAACATCGTTAAATTACAATAAACTCAAACAAAATGAATACACAATGATTTTTTGCCTGTGCTCTGTGGGAAGCAATTCAGTGGTCCAACCAGATGAGGGGGCATCATGACGGCCGCTGCCTCCCGTCAGCGGGATTTCCGCACCGCGCATGGCGTTTATTTTAGGGCGATGGATCATGGGATGGACGTCTGCAGTCGACCGCTGGTTCCGTACCCCGCACCCCGGACACACCAGTGTGTCACTTCTAGACAACGCTAATTTCCATACACATACATTCATAGCTAAAAACACATCAGACGTTATTTGCTTACACATGAGTTGTTCAGGAGTCAGGATAGCTCAGTCGCTACATAAACTAGGCTAACTACACGTTATTTGCTTACACATGAGTTGTTCAGAAGTCAGGATAGCTCAGTCGCTACACAAAGTAGGCTAAGGGCTGGACGACCAAGGAATCGAGGTTTAATTCCTGGCAGGAGAAAGTGATTACTCTCTTCTCCACAGTGTCAGAAACGGCTCTGGTGCCCACCCAGCCTGTTTAATGGGCACCGCATGCTCTTCCCCCGGGGATAAAGCGGTCGGGACGTGAAGCTAACCACTCTACTCTATCTAGTGACGTGGCTACGAATCCGCAGAGCTATTTCTTCATTCACCCATGCTTTGAATGGTGTGGTGCTTAAATAAAACACAGGGGGACACATTTTAAAATAGTTTTACTTAATTTAACTTCTTGCGATTTTTCTGCGTTCGGAGTCGAAGAATTTGTATTTTTAGTTCAAAGAAGCTTCCATTTGCTAAGATTATATTCAATAGTGTCGAAAGATGCGATATTTAACGAACAATAAGCTGGAAAATACGCAGAATGGATCGATCGTGGTGTAATTTACAGCACTAGCACAGTATCTGAATGAAGGGTCTCAAGAAAACCACCAGAAACCTCAGTTAGGATTACCTTTCTCCCGAATAACCACTGAAACGCTGATGACAACAGCTGTACTCGTCATCACATATACCCATATAATGGCTATTAAATACTTAAAGATTCTTACAATATTGTATTGAAGCATACTGTTGCATTACTAACTCTAAAACTGCTTATGTACTACAGAGTCCGTCAAAAATGCAACAAATTGTTCCTTCTTTCTTACACTTTCATTTTCGACACAGCGTGTTTCGGACCTAAATGGTCATTTTCAGGTGTCTTACCATGCCAAAAGACACCTTAAGATGGCCATTTAGGGCCGAAACACGCTGTGTCGAAATTGAAAGTGTAAGAAAAAAGGAAAATTTTGTTGCATTGTTGACGGACTGTGTAGTACATAAGCAATTCTAACAATAACCTATAATTAACATCCCGTTGGCCCTATAGAGCGTCAGCATATCTTCACTTGAGTACCGGAGTGTCCTGTGCCCATTATCACCAACTTTGACGAAACTTGGTTTGAAATCAGGGACTCACTGCAGTTTAAGTGTGACTTAGAAAGAAACACACATCTACAAGCATGTGGAGACAGTGCAACACAAAACGGAGAATCAGATACGTGCATTGGCTATCTCACTTTCTGCAGAAAGTGCAGACAGAACTCTCAGATCTGCCCTGTAATAGCGCGAGCCCAACCCCACAGCACTCTATCGCATCTTGCAGTACAGCTCCTGCAAGCACGTGCATTACTGACATCTTGATATTCTGCGATTCCTAAACAAGGCAACGTGGGTATCTGTTCCTGTCAGGTTAACACGTTGTCTTGCACTCGTATGTTCCTTACTTTGTTTTCTACGGTATCCATAAACCGACTGGGTAAAAGGTAAACCTATCCCTGTAAGAAGCCGTAGAGGCCCACAGGGTTGTGAAACGTCGAGGCTCACAGATGGCGATGAGGTAGTCAGCCTTACGCGCCGGCCGCCCTTTAGCCCCCCCCGGAAGATTCCTGGTACTCATTTCTGTCAGAGGCTGAGTCGAGCCCAGGGCCATACTGCAGCTGGAAGCATTAGGTCAATTATTTAATTAGGAAACGAACCCGAGATCTTCCGGCTTGTAGCATAGTGCCTCAACCAACTACGTTACCGCGTGCCTCCTAAGTAAACTATTAGGTTTTAATTATCAACATTATCATCACTTCTGTAGCTCTAGGAATTGATGTGAAGTAGTTGTTAAAAGGATTTTAATGAAATTTGGTATGAAAGCTTAGATTCGATTGAACTGGCTCACAACAGAAATAAGTAAAGGGTTCTCTTTACCACGGCAATGAAATTTCTAGTTCCATAAACCGCGGATAATTTCTTGACCAGCCGGGTGACTTTTGCCTTCTCACGAAGATCTAACACAAAATATGGCACGACCGTATTATCTCGCTACCCATCTTCATTAACGGCGTGTTGCTTCTGAATCTTATTTCATTCCGGTCTATTCAGGGAGCACATGTACCTAGAGTACTATCTTCTGGGACACGCCTAGCAGGTGGCTCTACTTGTCACATGCTTTCACGCTGGCTTCCTACTCGGCTTATTCTTCGGACCTGCAGACGGAGTTAATATGTTCCTCCGAAACGTCGGTTTACTTTGAACGGACTACAGAGTGTTGTGTCCCAGATTACAGTACTCTTCATAGCCACTGCTGTGAGAACCTCAAATCCTACAATATGTACCTAAACTTTAATTTAAATTATTACACTGATAGTTTACATTAATTAATGCTGCAATGGTATTAACATACACACACTTCTCTATCGAAATTTTACGTAAAAACTACTACTCTGCAAAACAGCAGAGAGGCAAGAAGAGAGGCTACTATGAACGCACTTCCTTACAGAGACATACAAAAGTTTAGTAATTTCCAGTGATCCAAAGCCTCGCTCCTCTTGAGGTCATTCTTGTTATGGTTCCGAGGCGTAAACGACAAAGAAGGAATTGCATGAGATCACGTACAATTCAGGAAGACATGACTACTGAACGACGTATGTAATTAACACGTAAAAGATCGTAACACGATGAAAGGAGATGAGCAAAGGCATTTGTTGTATTCCAATCCTACCAACATTTGCGCTATTTACATGACGATATATATAGGTCTGTAAGTATTTGGGTGAAATTAAACCAACAGTAGCAATTGTCTTATAGTCAGAAATATAGGGAGTACTGCCAGGCAGAGGTTAAAAATAAAACGTGTACAGCTTCCTGTTGCACGCTTGAAATGATTATCTTCCCATTACAACTGCAACACACGCAACAATGCACATGTGTATTCCACATATCACGCCGGCTAAACTAAAATATTTTAAATTTAGTATAAAATAGTTCAAAACAGGTTCAGACTTCATCAGAATTTAACGTGAGAGTTCTAAATTCTAAGTAAAATATTTATCAACATAAACTGGAGCGATATTTCAAATGAAGATACTCACCAAATAGGGTCGTAATGTAATATGTAGTCGAATCAAAAGATCAAAGCTCTACCTCAGGCAGATCTCTGTCGTAATTTCACTGAATAACAAAAGAGTATGTATTATAAATCGGTGTGAAATAATATATGTCTTACTGTTATGTTCACAACACACATAAAACACAGGTCCCACAGTTATGGGATCAGTGATTCGCAATGAGGAAATACTGAATGCAATTTGTCGATTCTGTGAGAACGATTATCTCGAAATTTCTTAAATATTTCTATGGGCTCTACAATGCAAGGAGTTAAATATAGCCGGGTGGAATGGAAATAACACCTCGGAAAGTAAGAGAGACGCATTTCGTGTTAAGTTATATTTAAAACTTTTGAGAAAGTAACATGACTCTCTTAAATACAGGAAATGTGCGATTCTCGTATAATTCAGATTACTTAACAAGATTTTCTTACCGTAACATGCGAAGAGAAGCCTGAAAAACGTTCGTAAATCGAAAGAAAGTCGTTCTGAAACTTTTCATCCGTCGCACCCCACACCCTCCATCTCGTTGTAGCAGGCACTAGTGAGTGTAGATGGTAGCTCTCAGAATGCTCACAATTGGACAAGTAGAGGCATCTTTGATGCAAATCGTGAAACTGTTCCACAGAGGAGATATTGTCGGCACTGTCGAGCCAGATATATCCGCATTACGTTTTAGTAATGGCAGTGGGGGTCATTATCAGCTGATTATTTTTTTTTGTTCGTGAATCGTTGTGGTATTTCGTAAAGCGGACGTAGTTAGAGCTAATCGCCTGCGTAATTCACGGCAGGGTAATTTAAATGTTGTGTATGTCGAAAATGGAATAATGACATCAAAATCCGAGATAAATCTCCAAAACTTCTATGTTTACAATTCGTCATTCGGTCAGAAGGAAGGAGAGGTGAGTGCGTAAGTGGTTTTTTATGTTCTGTACTAAGAATCCAAACAGTAAGATTACTTGTGCATCAACAGTCGTGCACGGAACACTTCTCAGTGTACATGTTACCTGTGATAAATGCATTGTTTCATTCATGCTTTTCACTAGAATGAACTCTCTAGGACCACAACAGACACCTTGTCATAAGGAAAAAACCGGATTTTGTATTATGAAATTATGTAGGATTTGAGGTTCTCACAGCGGTGATTATGAAGAGTACTATCATCTGGGATATAATGCAGTGTAGTCCGTTGAAAGCCGACGTTTCGGAAGAACATATCACCTCCATTTTCGGGGTGGAATAAGTCGAGCAGGATACCAGGGTGGAAACAGGTTGCCTTTCAACGGACTACACGGCGTTAAGTCCCAGAAGATAATACTCTTCAAATTAAATTATGTTTATTGAAGTATAAAATTAAAATCAATTAACTATGCCATAGAAGATTATAATTTTTTATTTCTAATTATTATTCCTAAGTATTTGAACTTCATATCATCTTGCCTTCATGTTTTGATTTTCCCTACATTCCTATAAAGAGACATGGATGTAGACTTAATTTGCCCTGTCTACCTTTAGACAGATTTCATTAATAACATGTAATAGAGTCTAGGTATATTGCTTTATCATATTTCATATTTATCATATATCAAAATTACAGTATTCTTGGATGTGACACCATATAGTGTAATAGTGTGATAAAGAGGTACTGATGTTATGGAGAAACATGCTCCCAAAACTTTAGTACCTGTCAACCAACACATGGTATCACATCCCAGAAGAAATTGAATGTATCAGTGGTTTAGGACACACATATTGTATGTCCAATATGCACAGCCTTCAGTAAATTCACATGATAGCTGCTGTGACATGTTCTGGTATGACACACAATATTTGTTTTATTCTCTGTCCCATCTGTCCCATGGTTATTCCTGCACTTAATATGTGCCAAACAGAGGTGGCCCATTTAACTACCAAGGGCATTCAGCAACTCTAACCAGAAGTGGACATGCAGTATGTATGCTTTAAATTATTGGTGTTTAATTTTGCTGAATATCCAGATAATATATTCCTGCTGAGCATGACTTATGAAATACATGTAGTGTCAAACCATTGTCAATATTGGTGAGCATATTTATAAAGGTAATCTTTATTGACATTAATTATTTTAATTCTTTTTTCAGGAGGATAAAAAGATTTTGTTCTATTATCCGCCAAAGACTGATTTTGATACGCAGATGAAAAATGTTGGACTTAGTGAAGCAATTATTAAATTCACAGAGTAAGTGCCACATTTCAACCATATTAGTTGCACACAACCGATGCTACTCATACATACTCGAATAAATGAGACATGGTACACAACGGTTGCCCCTCAATTTACATTATAAATGAACTCCTCATATATAAATGTAATGATTTAAGTGGAGTTGTTCTTACGCATATATCAAGCCTCACTTTTCTTTATGAAATTAATTATTACTGTTATTTCTCTGAGAGTATAGAATCATCATTAGTGTAACATCTCATATTTTTATTGTATTTAAAGAATTTGTCTCTGAACAATTTGGCGTAGGCATTTACACTTCAGTTTTGTGTTGTGGATGTGACCAGTTCAAATCTCTTCTGGGACACATGCTATCCTGACTGAGGTCTTTCATGATTTTCATTAATGCCTCCAGGCAAATCCCAGGATGGTACCTCAGGTTGAGCCATGACCCTTCCTTCCACATCCTTTTCAGTTCATTATTCATTAAGTCATCCTACCATTCACTGCAGTATAGTCTAAAATACAGACCATCATTAAATAAACTTCAAGTAAAATTAATATATTTAAAAAGAGTGAAGTTTCATATTTCATTTTCTCTCAGTAAGGCTCCTTGTAGCAACCCAAACATGCTACAACTTTGTTTCTTCCCTGAACTTCTCCCAAAGTCTTGATTGCATTAATTTGCTGAAGAATGTGATGTAATAAGAGCTCAAAATTCCCAGCAAAAACCTTGGCTTGATGGGCTCGATAAATGAACAAGACTTCTCCTACTTCTCTTTATGAGGCTCAGCTTCCAGTTGATCTTTTGTTGTACAGTTGCCTTGCAAGTTGACCAACTCCTGCATATTTTCCACATCAGCTTCCCTAAAGCTGACAATTCTGGTCATGTAGAAGATGGCTCACCTTGTGTTGCTGATATGATCGCTCACAGGACCCCTTGTGAAGTTGCAACCTTGGTCCATATCATTCACGACAGTCTGTTCGTGCACAGTCACGTGATGTCTGTGCATGCATTACAAATGAGCCTCTACTCATGTCATGTTCATAGTTGCATTAACCCTTTAAAGACTGAATTTCTTTTAAATAGTACATAAACCTTCAATTCATTCCTCACGGGAAACACATCATGTCTCTGCTACAAAGCCCAACCGGTTAATGCTGTTTAGGGAAATAATCGCTGTTTATTGTGAGAACCATACGGAACACATAAATACACTGTGTGGGCAGAATACAGAGATCCAGTTTGTACCTGACAGGAAACACGTTACATCTCCACTACAAAGCCCAACCAGTTAATGCTGTTTAGGGAAATCATCACTGTTTATTGAGAGAGCCATACGGAACACGTAAATACACTGTGTGGGCTGTATACAGAGTTCAGTCCGTACCTCACAAGAAACATGTTACGTCTCCGCTAAAAAGCCCAACCAGTTAATGCTGTTTGGCGAAATAATGTTTATTGTGAGAACCATATGGAACACATAAATATGCTGTGTGGGCAGAATGCAGAGTTCACTTCGTACCTCACATGAAACACATTACGTCTCCTCTACAAAGCCCAACCAGTTAATGCTGTTTAGGGAAACAGTCCATGTTTACTGTGTGAGAATCATATGGAACACATAAATATACTCTGTGGGCAGAGAGTTTTGTTATGTTAAAGCAGGTGGTACATATAGTAACCACTGGGATGAAGAGGATGAATGCAACAAAACATGCGTAAGTTGAGGAAATTCTGGTTCACTGTTCAGTATAAGATCATGTCACAGCAAAGTCGCATGAGAGCTGTACACTATATAGTTTTTCAAGTTTTTGCAACTTAGTAACTGTTAACATTATGATTTTCAAGGTTGTGACAATGCATAGTCTTGTATGTAGGTAGCAAAGCTTTGGAATGACATGCCACTTCCATCTTTAGTTGGATCTAAGTTATCACTTATCTTGCAACCTGGCTGTATAACCCAACCATTTCCTCAAGCTACACACTTCAACCCTGAAGATGGAAGCAGTATGTGTTGGTATCCACACACAAGGTTACATGGTGTCACATCTCACAGTGCCACAGTCTGAAGTGCATCCTGTGCATGATGCTGTTTCAGTACCTTCAATGCAGATCAGTTGTGTGATGCACTGCATACACAGAAGACGAGGCAATTGTATCATCAGGCAGAACAAGGATTCTGGATGGTCATGGTAATCACATGTCTTCAGTTTCATAGAATGACAGAAGTGGTTTGGTTGGCTGATTTCTAATGCCATACTTTAACAGTTAAGTCAGTTAAGCTTTTAGCCTCAAATGGCTGGCATTTTTGTAAATAATTTTCTTTTCGGGCACCACTTTGGTGAGTTATGGTGCCCAGTTTTCTAGCACATCCAGCATATTTCAGTTGGGTCGGGTGATTTCAGACCACCTCTGGTATAGTGGTCAGAGTTCCTGGCTACAGATCCACAGGTCCTGAGTTCGATTCCTGGCGCTACCAGATTTTCTGAGAAGTAGTGGGTCTGGAACAGGGGCTGCTCAGCCTCGTGAGGATAATTGAGGAGCTATTTCAAGGAAATAGCTACTCCGGTCTAGAAAACCGAGATTAACAGCCATGGGGATCCATTGCGTTGACCACGCGACATTCTCTATCTGCTAAAGTTGGCACCAACTTTACCGACAAGCGGAAGTCACTCGGTCAGTATAGTTTGCTTGCAGACTACAGGCCACGGAGTTTTGGGTGAATTCAAATTGTTCCCATTCTTATTCACCAGAGGTCTCCACAGTTTTGTGAATGCACTGACATCTAGGTGCAGAGGATAGAGCTTTGTGGAAGATCAAAAATGGTACCTCATTTTGCCTGTAATATTGTCACCTTCAAATGTTATTAGTCAGCTCCTGATTATGTTGCTGCAGTCTGTCCAAGTTAAACTGTATCTGAGACATTTTCGAGGGTGCATCATTAGCAGACAGTGATGTAGATCATTACATCTTCATTAGAGAGTTGCTAGAACCCACTTTTAACATGTAACAAGAAACAAATTCATATCAGAGATCTTGTTGGACACACAATACTTTTCTACAAGGTTACCTATTGAAAGTATGACATACCCTTAGAGGTGTTTTTGTCAGTATTCTGTAAATTAACATGAATTTACTTGAAACAGCTGGCCAACATGCAATTTTTCCTCCAACAGAAATTGTGCAGATCATTGTATACATTTATAGTGAACAAAAATAACATAGCATGTAGACTCAATGCTAGGCAGTGAGAACAAAACAAATGAGACAAACAACCACTACTAGGCTGCCAGCAGACATGAGTGCAACAGAGGAACTCTACTCGCTTCATGCAAAGGGGTTATAAGGAGGACAGTTGAAGCAAGAATAATGAGTTGATAGTCAGGCAGTGAAGAGAAGGCTTCATGTGATATTTGGAATGTATAATTCAGTGAGCCTGTTATAGTCCCTGTGTTAAAATCCATTACCAGGAAACGGCTAGTGGAGACTGTAACAGACTGAGGACACTAGTCTGTTTGTGCCAGTGATCTGTAAAGCCTAGTCATGAGTCATGATTGTATAAATGGTCAATAAATCCAATATCTAATCCAAAACCCCATCGAGAATCATGGTTATGCACATGACAATATGACTGATAGTAAACATTTTTATAAATGTTGTAAATTGAAGTCTCTCATGTGTCCTTGTTTCCAGACACTGAGTATTCCATTTGTGACCAAAGTGAAGGATGGAACTGAATATTTGGAGTATCAAAGTGATGATGTTCAAGACAACGTTTACCTTGCTGTCTTGCGACAGTCATACCAGATGTTCCGTCTCTTCAAAGGTTCCTTCACTGCTATTCTTAGTAGCAGTGGGGCTGATGTGACACATCTCAAACAAAAACTAGACCACTTCTTCTCCAGGGTGAGAGTAAAGTATTTTCTTATTCTTACATTTCATTAGGCAGAAGCAGTTCAACAAGTCTGTAACTAGTGCATATTCTCACATTTCTGGATTGGTTGCATCCCATGATATAAACACTTGTGACATCATGTGGATACCAACGTTTTGGAGGAATATTCTGCCTCCATCTTCAGGGTTGAAGTGTGGAGGCAGAATTAATTTGTCAGAAGAATCAACTGCATGATGTGTACAGTTAAGTTAGCAATAATGAATTGTATAAATAACACTTCTGCACAAATTAATTTATTTTGTTTCAGTACTTGCTTACTTTGAAGCTGAACCACTCGGATATCCTAGACGTATTCCAGGGTATCCAGTTTCTTCCTCTTGATAAACAAACTTTTCTTCATGTCCAGTGCTTCGTTAATCTGATAGAAGCAACATTCGCTCAAGTGAAACAAACAGCATTTCTCTACAACGATCAGTTAGTTTGGTAAGTGGTTAGGCCATAAGATTCTCTTTGTAATGAAAGTCAGGAAAGTTTTTCAATTTCACAATTCATGTTTGGGTCATTTAATACAGATATATGTGTAGTATAATGTAGTGTGTATAGCTATTGCTATGCAACACTCATGAGATGGGCAGTTATACCAGACCCGTTTCTGGGCAACAGCTGGGTAAACACATTCCCATTGCAGCAGTTATGCATGCAGTAGCAGAAACCCAGTGTTGCCTATGCAGTCAGCACCGAGAAGTTATAAAGAAGAGAATTTGGACAACCAATTTAGTTGAGCTCTGCAAGGGAGACTGAGAAGAGATGGCAATATGGTTCACTTGATAGTTGTCAGTTGAGTTCTGCATGGGAGACTGTGGACATAGAACCTGAGTGCAACAAGCTGAAGAATCTCCACTGTTAGAAGCCATTGCCAGGGAATAGCTGGTGAAGACACAGCAGGCTGGAAAAGGGTGCTGTGGAGATTAGTGATAGCGCTGTAGTTACTTGTAATTCTGAGTGGTGTGTATAAGTGGTCAGTAAATTCATTCTCCAATCTATACCCCATCTATAATCACACTCCATACACACATATGTGTGTTTATTTATATATATATACCAAAAACAACTGGAGATGATGGAAGGTGTACTAGTGAAATTAAATCCAGGATTGCCATGGCAAAAGCTGCATTTAGCAAGAAGAAGAATCTTTTTACCAGGAAATTGGACTTAAATTTGAGGAAGAAACTAGTGAGATGCTAAATTTGGAGCATAGCTCTGTATGGGGCTGAAACATGGACAATTAGGGCAGTAGATCAGAAACATTTGGAAAGTCTCGAAATGTGGTGTTGGAGAAGGATGGAGAAGATCAGTTGGACCGATTATGTGAGAAATGAAGAAGTGTTAATTAGAGTTGGTGAGCAGAGGAATATCCTGCACGAAATAAGAAAACGGAAGGCTAATTGGATTGGTGATATTTTACGCAGAAACTGCCTTCTAAAAGAAGTTATCGAAGGAAAGATAGAGGGGTGGATAGAAGTGACAAGAAGACGAAGAAGACGTAAGAAGATGCTGGATGACCTTGGGGACAGAAGAGGATACTGTCATTTGAAGGAGAAAGCTCTAGATTGCATTAAGTGGAGGAATTGTTTTGGAAGAGACTGTGGACCTGTCGTCTTGACAGATTACTGATGATGATATATATACAGTCAACCCTCGATTATCTGGGATAATGGTGGGCATGGAAATCACGATTAATCGAAAACCCAGTTAAGACAAATGTTATTAAAAGTAGTACTGTAATACTGTACCTTCATAATACTATAGGCCTACCTGTATTCAAATTTACTCAACCTCATTTTTATGTCATCTCATGACCTATTTAATACTTTTTTTACGTTATACTGAAGTGTGAATTAGTTATTTCAATCACAGTGTTCAACAACATCCAACACTTTTTACAAATATTCACACTTAACACTTAAAAGAATTAATATTGTTGTTTGCTTTTTCGTGGCATTTTCCTTTTTACAGATATCCGTATGAAACCTACGTAATATTAGCTTGTCACTTAATAAACTGTTCTCTTCACTCTCAAGATAGTCTAGTAAGGATTCCAAATGATTAAGAGCAGCACCATGTGATATTTTCTTATTAGCAGCACTGTCCACCTCTTCCTCATTCTCACTTTCTTCCTGCTCTTCTGGCTGCACCCCCACTGAACTTACGGTTTCATCACTGCTTAACATTTCGAAGCCCGGCTCACACAAGTTTCTGTTGAATACTTAACACAACATGCTTCCTTTTACACCCTGACATTTCGCTAACGCACTTGAAGATCGATACAAAGAGACCAACTGGGGCGGTGTATCTGTCCTTGAAACTTTCCACAAATCCTTGCATTCTTTCACCCCTATCCTAGAACATTGTGTTAGCTTAACATGACCAAAGAATGCAGAGCTTGGTTCAGACTAGTGCGAAAATAGTGTTACAACTCACCATGTGAAACAAAATTGAATGAATATTAAGCAACATATAAGCCTCAAAAAAGCCCAGTAGCCCCGGTTAAGCCGCAAACCGGTTAATTCGCCCCCAGATAATCGAGAGTTGACTATATATATATATATAAAACAGAAAGGCGTGTATGTATAAGAAGAAAGGCTCCATGGTACAGTTCTGAATACAGTGGAATCCCATTTAATGTTTCTTAGTCTAAGGTTTTCCCTCATTTAATATTCAATTTCAGTGATTGGCTGCAACATTCATGCTAAATATTTTTATTCATGCCAGACTAGAGCTTATTTCAACATCTGTCTTGTAAGTGGCCATGCTTTCTATATGGAAAGTACTCATTAAATTGTTCTCCAGGACTGGCATAGAACCTGAAGATATGCAAGTTATATATAGGTACTTGGTCACAAGTCTCTTACCTGCACATCTGGAGACAGAGCTTCAGGGTGGCTCTATGCCAAGGCATCCTACATCACCATTCTCAAGCTCTCATTATGGCAGGTCAGTTACCACTTAATATTATGTTTCAGCATCCTGTTGCACTGTATAGATCTGACTTAGGGATTTCTGCACCATCTAAGTGTAATGATGTTTGATGTTCCCTTATTGAACACTATTTCACCTTATGTTTCGGCCTAAATGGCCACCTTCAGGTGTACAGGTCAGGACTCTGCTACTAACTGCAACGCGGTTTTCTTTCCTCCTATTGTTTTGACACCAACACGGATACATAGCCTGATATTCAAAACATTACAGGAGACAAACACAACACACCCCACACCCGAGGCAGCAACACAACTGACGTCAAGAAAACACCCACAACAAGAAACTATGATGGGTGACCAGCACACAACAAGAACATTCAAGGCAGCCATAACCAGCAAACCAAACAAAACCAAAAGTCACCACATGCAACCCACACAACCAAAAATAACCTGAGGCTACTGCAATAGGCGGAAAGAAAACCGCATTACAGTGAGCAGCAGAGTCCTGAACTGCAACAACCTGTACACCTGAAGATAGCCATTTAGGCTGAAACATATAGTGAAATTGTGTCCAATAAAGGAACAATGAAAAACACTGTATTTAGACGGCACAGAAACCCCCAAGTCAGTTACCACTTTACTGCAACTTACTGGAATTACACTCCAGATTATTGCATTTCTTGACTTTGTCCATTGTCTAGTATTCTCAAGCACCACAGCACTTGAAAAACTTGGTCTCTTTCTGTATCTCAGATGAGAAGGTGGTGGGACACCTCTACAACTGGGTCCTTCAGACAGAGCTGATCTCAATAACTGGGATTCTAATGGACCTAACTGCGTAGGTGTCTGCTTACCTGTCACTTGAGGGCAGTAACAGATCCAGTTTCTGAAATATTGTGTTATTTCAGAATACTAGGTGATGGGCAAAATTGACAAACAGTAATTTTGAGTGTAATACATTACTTTCAGAACTCTTTGGAACTGAGTGTTGTAATTGTACTTGTCTTTTAATTCAGCACTTTGGTCTCTTTAGTCACCATAATGAGAACCTCACATCTTACCATTCTGAATGTTCACTAAGAACATTTTGGGCTATCTTGTAACTATATTTTTCTGGTTGTTGTAAATACAGATGTACATCATGAATACTGTGTCTTCAGATTTGTTACAGGTCCTCCAAACCTCCAAGATGCTTCTGGAAATAGTTGGAAAGTTCCAAAGGTTTACATCAATAATGACATGACACCAGAACTGTATCATCTGGTTGTGTACAGAGCTCTTAGTGCAACTGTGTGTATGTTTATTGAAGGTGAGCACATCAGATATTGCTTCTCAATAGTATCTGCTATTAGAGATGAAGAAATTTTGATCATATAATGTAGAATGAAAGAATAAGGGATGAACCAAACCAGCCCTTACACTATAACTGCCTTTGATCTGTCATGCATTGATGATAAATTCCGAATTCATGATATCTGGAGAAAAGTTCGTGCTGTGTAAAACATCTTTGAGGGTACATCACACCTTGAGTAGACAATGTCACAGAGAAGCATCCTATGTTCAATGAACTCTCATGTATAGAGATAATGGTTCCCATTACATGTCAAAAAGGCTGATTTGTAAGTTCCAGTTGAATTCTGTGCACACTGTACTTGAAAAGCTTGTAATAAATACCTTTATTAAATAACTTTACAATAGAATTAACCATCCTTTTGGACGTTCTTGAATTACTTCAAACACAGTGTTTTGGAAACCGAATCTGGTCTACCATCAGGTGTAAGGATAGAAATATTCCAGTACAGATGGGCCCTTTAGAAAGAGAGTTACTGGGCCAGTAACCACCTGATGACAGAAGCGCATTCACTTTCCAAAATGTTTCATTTGAAGAAACTCAAAAGACAATAGAAAATTTCCAATACAATAATCTTGTTTGTTGTAACATATGATCATCAAAAATATTTAAAGACCTAGCCTAAACAAAGTGCTATTTATTATCGCAGGCTCCCTACAGTTGAATCTTGACTTCTTCAAACGTCTGGATATTTTCCTGGGACCACATCTAACAACGTTAGTATCGGAAGTTGCGGAACATTGCAGCAGGCAAGCTGCTAGCAGCAGCACAAATTCTGTGGATCCCAGCCCAAAGTTTGTATACTTCAATAAACTTAATCTGGCTCAGAAAAGTACAGTGCATCTCGACAACAGACGAAGTGGTAATGTTGCAGTAACTCCAGAAGTTCTGCGGTTACTTGCAGATATCAATGCTGATAAAACAAGGTACAGTTAACACTTATCATTTCATTTCCTTTATTGAAGTGTGCATGGCCTTGACCAAATTCTCTCCAAAGCAGATTAATACATTCTTTCTCAATCCCATCACTTGAACTGAAATTGACTGTATTCCACTGCTAATCCTGTCAAGTGATGGGCTCTTGCCATCATGTACGTAAACTAATTTTCTTTGTCACTCAAAAGCAAAGAAACTTCACATGTGGCTTGTCAAAATATACATTTGTTGATTTTTTTCAGTTGCCTTCCTCCATTTCTGTTTTGACTGCAGTAAATTCAGAATTCACTCAGTAGAAAAATAGCAGCAGATAAAACCCTAGCAAAGGGGGCATGGCAGATTCAAGAGGTGTTATGTAATTCACACATTCTTCATGAACTGTACAGTTAATACAATTAATTTCTTCTCAGAATGTCCACAACTGGAGAAATAATACTGAAGACGATGAGTGATTATTGGGTTGTGGGCAAACTGTCCAATCTCCGGGAATTTTATGTTGTAATCCATCAAAAGAATGCCAACCTCATAGAAATAAATGGTAAGAATATTCAAGGAAGCCAGTATGTACATTGAACAGCAGAGAAGTAGTCTACATTACATATTTTGAAAGTCACAGTGTGGACAAATGTTGTGTCGTCTTTGTTTGTTTATTAATGTATAGCTTATTTAATGACACTGTCAGTAGTTCAAAATATAGTGTCAAATGGTGGTATGGTGAATGAATGATGAATTGGGTAGGATATAGAAGGAAATGGTCATGACCTATCTGAGGTACAATTGCTGCATTTTCCTCTAGGGACTAAGGAGGAACATAAAAGTAGTCAAGTTAGGATAGGAAGTGTCCTAGCTGAGATTCAAACCAGGCATCTCCCAAATACAGGTGTGAAATGTTACGGCTTAAGCCAACTTACTTGGTTATCTGGTTCTCTTACATCGTGAGTCTGTCGTCCTTTCAGATTTTGCTGTCCAGTTTGCATGGCAACATTTTTATATTAAAAAGCTCAAGGTTCCTAGACTTAGAACATGAATAGTTTTTCTATAACTTCCACATCTCCAGATCTATGCAATACAGTTTTCTGATATTAGAAGACATTGTAACTGAATACACTGTAAATTTAATGTACAGCAGTCGCTTGTTAACTATGGATTTCAACTATCCACGTTTTTACGTTAGTGTTGATTTTTACGTACACATGGAAAAATTGGTGACTTCTGCATGACAAAGACATCTGCATTTGCTGGTGGCAGTGCTGTAATGGCAAGTTGAATCTCATCCATTCCCACATCCTAGTTCTGTAAGTTTAATTTAAATATTATCTCATCTATATCTAGATCTCCCAAGTGGTCCTTTTTTTTTTAATTTGCTTAGTGGGGGGTGGAGTCCAACTGGGTCCACTCAGCACAGCGGCCACTGATTGGCCTATTGTAGCCTGCCGCCAGTGATTATGATGGAGAATTTGGTGGAATGAAGATTGGCAGGGGAAACCGAAGTACTCGGAGAAAACCCGCCCCAGCGCCCCTTTGCCCACCACAAATCCCACTTGACCAGACCTGGGATCAAACCCATGCCACAGCGGTGGGAAGCCAGCAACAAACCACTTGAGCTGTGGCGTGGCTTAAAATGGTCCATTACTGTAAGATTTATATGTACTTAAGACTGCCATGAATGTCAGCAATTGCAGTTCTCATGATCCCCAGTACAAGGCCCTAGCATTGTCAGTCACATTTCAGAAATATGGGAGTGATGTATACGGCCGTTTTTACTGTATTCAGCTGGTCACAGGTTGTACCTGTAGCATTAAGGTACAGTATTTTCTAATTCAAAAACATTTTGGACTTTAATATGACTCAGTTATTATTCATTTTTACAAGTTCATAACTGTACATAGGATTTAATGTCATTTAAATTAACTGTATTTTATTTTTTCAGATGAAGTGAAGAGGCTAAGTGACACTCAGCTTCATAACATATTCTTCCACGATTAAAGTGATGGCCAGTTAGTGAAACTTTAATTTGAGGGTTGCTATGGCACATTATTACATTATTATGTGAATTCTAGTGTACTTTTAACATCCATTCCAAGTGTACTATAAATTTGGTGTAATTATCATACATCCATTTTACTATGTAAATGTGTTGTTATTAAAAAATAAATATTTTACAGAATACACCAATTATATAACTACTGTACAAATTAAGGTACTAATATATACAGCTGAAACTTGGACCCGTATAAAAATAAGCAAAAGCAAGATCCCGACGAAGAATGTAAGGTGTGAGAAGTACAAGGGAAAAGTAAAATGGGATAGAATTAGAAACAAAAATGTTATAAAGGAAAGAAAGACTGATGGCATACCAAAATCACTTTCTTATAACCAGTGGGGCTGCAAACATTTAAATCCACCAAAATATGAAGACTGATGTTTTTCACAATCACAGTACTTTCTCGTGTACACTGTGTACACGATTAAAGATGAACGAAGTAAAAAAAATTAAATATTAATGTTTATGTGATTTGTTTCTTTTTCATGAATACCACTTATATTGTACATCCTTTGGACAGACTAATATCAACTGAGATACAGCTCTCCAATTATTAAAATTAGATGATGCTGTATATATCACCAGTATATGTAATTCATAAACACTGCACAACTTCCGCACTTATATTTTTATTTTTTAACAAACACTTCCAAATGAAATTAGATTACAAGAGTACTACATGCAGAAATTAGAAAGTACATCAGTATAACAACAACACAGAAATAAAGCACATCTTAATATGGATTCTTCTCTCAAAGATCCTTGGTATGCTTGGTATCAAGATGCGGGGGTCTAATTCGACAGATCTGTGATGGTTCTACTGTTAACTTACAAAAACATAAGTGTCACTGCCGGTATGATATTTTGGATGCAATACAACTATGTCCAATCATTCTACAAAAGGCTGTTCCCACAATGCACTTCAATCATAAACATCCTCTTTGTCAGCTATGTATTGGACAATATCAGCAGGCCGAACCAACTTCACGGCGTCTGTGTCTGGAATTTCAAACCCTGGAATATAAAATTGTTTCATACCTCAGTTTACAGTAAGCATCTAAGTTACCAGTAATTCTAGCCATTAACACTTCGCGGACTGGCGATTTAAATATTTAAATCACCCTGGGGACCAGCATTTTTAAACATACTACCCTAACTTGTGCACTTTTCACTTTAAAAATTAATATAAAATCTCCTAATTCATTTTTTGAACTAAAATTTTTGGAGAACACTTACCAATGCTCCTAGAAGTGCTTGAGGGTGTGATATTTCTGGAAACATTCCCTTTTATGAAGTGGCATTACACAGAACTTGCAAATGTAGACATACTCCTTTTATTGTGAACTGTGCAAACATGACATTGCCTAGAAGGATTCTTCCCCTTGGAATGTTCACTCTTCACAATTTTCACGAGGGTATTTTTCCACATATCACTCGAGAGTCGCCCTGGGGGTTCCACATGAGGCCTATGTGGGGTGGGAGTTGATGGGCCCGGTCGTACAAAGTCTTTGTGTGACCCTGATTCTGCCGCAACCATCTGGACTGTAGCCCAGGTCTTTGCCACATTCATCAGAAATGCTTTATATTTCAATTTTGAATCAGGGTTTAGATTTTTGCTGTCCCCGCAATGTTACTACGCGCAATGTTATTACCCGCATTATCGTCGGAGCTACTGTCACTTTTACTGTCTGTGGCCACAATTCTTTGTTGTCCCCCGTCACTGTCACTGTCTGAATGACAATCCATTACTACATGTCTCACAAGGCAGGTCAGCTAGGTCATCGGAGGAGAATTTGTCCTTGATTCATTCTCCCCACTAGCTACTGGCTGATACACACAGCTTGAAGAAGGCAAAGCATTTTCCTTTATAGTCTGTTAAGTAAACAGTGAGGTCAAGTTACTGACTGCTAACTAAACATTCCAGAGTCTTATCACGCATCTGCAGGCGGTTGCATGCAATGTAGGTGGCGCCAGAGCGATGTATGGTGTGCTGCAACTTATCATGTTCTAAAAACGTATTAATACGCGACCGGTCCACTATGTTTAAAAGCGAAAAATGTATTAATGCATGCGTGGTCCGCAAAGTGTTAAGATAAGTCCCTTGAGTTTGAAACTCAGAATTTCTGATTACTTAAGCGTTCCTTATGTATCAGCATTCTGTCATCACTTCTTCACTCTGAAGATGGAGGCAGCAAGCTCCTCTGAAACAAACTATATGGCTTCATATCCTAGAAGACCATAATCTTAATACTATAAATGTTTCAAATGCCCTATAAGCTAACCTACTCATAGGTCTGTATTGCCATGCAACATTTTCTAAAATTGTTAGGAAAAACTGGAGACCTCTTGAAGTGAGTTTGTTTCTGGATTATTTAATGATACTTTGTCAATTGCAAAGGGTGTGCAGTGTCGAATGACACGATGATTGTGCATGATGAATGTGAACAAATGTGGCAGTGGTCATGGCCTATTTTAATTTCATGTACTATCATGGGAATTTCATAACAGAACACAGGAAAACAACAGTTTCACAACAGAGCAGTTAACACTCCTCCTATTCATTCTCTCTTAACCCATTCCTTGTCCTCTCTTCCCTGCATCAATGATCATTTTTCCTGCATGACTTCCATTTATACCCTGAAGATGGATATAGAGATTTCCCCCCAGAATGTTTGTAATAATCTACCAGGCACTAATTTTCACAGCCACCACTCTATATGTGATCAAAATATAACTCTGTATTTACATACCAAATTCATCTTCCATGGCCATGATGATTTCTACATGGTCTAGTGAATCCAATCCTAGGTCATTCAGAAAATGAGAATCTACTGTCAGCTGTAACGTGAAACAAACAAAAATGTACACACATCTAAGCTGTACTTGAAATTCTCACTGATGACTTATGAGTATGAGCTTCTGGATCATAATTCCATGTAGTTTGAACAGAGCCCAATGTTTCTAAGTATCACTTTTCAACTAGATATGTTGTGTAGCATTCAAGAGAAGGATAATGAATTACTCTGAAGGTGGAGGCAATATGCTCTTTTGAAATGTCAGGTGCCCTCTGAGCTGCATGGCGATACAATCCAGAAGACTGGACTCTTTACACTCCTAAGTTTATAAATTATGTCAAGAAAAATGGGTGTATTCTACATAGCAGTTGTAGCTAACACATGTAAGCAAAATGAGAAATTATACAACACACGACATAATTTTGGTAATCATTCACACTGGGCAATGGGTACAGGAAAGAACTGAAACTACTCAAAATCAAATGTGAATATCCCTTGGAACCTATTGTAATTTTTAAAAAATCTATGATTTAAACTGTACCATACTTTGAGCACAAATTGATGGTATGATCCTACAACATACACTTTTATAATCCTCCCCCGATCCCATCCAAAAAGAAAATTCTCAGATAATGGTACTCGCAACCATTGACAGAATTCTCCATGAGATGAGTGAAAAATTATACCAAATAAAAATACTTAAACACTTCAAAATCTCTCTTCTTGATCTTCTCATATCCACATCCTTCTTAAAATATTTCTTAAGAATCAAAATCCTGCACCAGTTTGATAATAAATGTTCTTGACAGTAGTAAAGAATCAACTGTAATTTCAATTAAATATTAACTGATTAAATTGATGTTACCAACAGAATGGAGTAACCATTTGCATGCCTCCATAACCACTCATCTGAATTTGAAAATAATTATAATAAAAGTAAACCTAACTTTGCATTTTGTTTTATGCTGTCTACTTGTATGTGCAACGTTGGTTACTATTCACTCATCATTTTTCATTACTGACAATGTGTTTTGGCCTAACTGGCCATCATCAAGTGTACCGGTTGTTGTGATGAGGGAATCTGCTGCTCACTGTAAAGCGTTCTGCTTTTCTTATGCAGTTGCCTCAGATTACATCAGGTTATGTGGATTAACCATCTGTTTATTTATATTAGTGCCCCTGGGGTGCATTGTTTGCCCTATCTGCAATATGTACTGTCACTGCAGAAAAACAACACATTAATAGTAACGGAGGTTACACAGATGGCATAAAAGCAAAACACAAGTCAGATCTATGCAGTACAACAGGATGGTGCAATATAACATTATAATAAAGGTAAAGCTAAAATTTTCCATGTGCTTAATTAAGCACCACACCATGCAGGTGTGGGGGAGTGGAGGTACAGTTCCATGCATTCTTAACCTTGCCACAAAATTATAATGAAAAATAAATTAAAGCAGCCTGTTTCAAATGTGCAAACATAACTGCATATTAATAGTTTCAATAACTCCTAAATTACTTTTCTGGGATGTGACACCATGAAGTTTGACAGGTACCAACATTTCCAAGGAACCTACTGTCTCCACCTTCAAAGTAGTCTATCTATAAAATGGTGGTAACATGGCATTAACACACAAGTACCAACTCTGTTGTGCCACAGACCCGGTAACAATGACACAAATCTCGTATCTAAATTCTTCTGTTAAAATATATTCTTTTTTTAAAGACTAGGATAGCTCTCATGATGTGTCATTCCTCCAAAAAACTTTATCATCCAGTACTCTTTGGGGAATAGCAGCGTTTTACTGGTAAAGTTCCTAATGTGAACTAGAAACAAAGACCCTTCAGATATTAAAATAAAAATTTAGTTCCTAAAATATGCTTTTGTAAATGTGACTCACACGCATACAATCAGACAATTTCATTAGCTACTTAGAGCACTGTCTGGTTATCCTTGCCCTCTCTGTAGAAGGTGGAGAAAAGGGGCGCTGTTCAGATAAAGTTTAGTTCAGAGTACAATAACACAGAAGTGGGGACTATACTGTTCACCATGAAAACATCTGCCAACTGTTGGACAGTATAATGAATTAATGTACTTTTTTGGTTCTATATTGTAAGTCTCCACTTACGTGGTTAATTAATTCCAAAGGTTTCCATGTAAGTCCAGCAATGCTTAAATACAACATATTTTTGTATGCACATATTCATTTCAATGGATTCTTAAAAACCAAAAAAGCATGTACAATAAAAACGTATCAGAGGATACTATACTGTACTGTTTTATAATCTGGTACTTACAATTCTGGATGTCAAACGTACCTAAACTGGTTAAATGTAAGAAAACATACATGCGTATCTCTGTATATACAGATTCATGTAACTCAAATCTGTATAAGTTGGGGACATGCTGTACTTATGAACTTATTTTTTATAGTTTATACGTATATTAAACAATGCTGCATCATCAGAATTGACCCAGGCACTTTAAGAATGGAAGTGAAGGTAAGAAATTTTTTCACAAAGAATAGTATTGTCAATGCTTTAAACAAAATCATATCCCTCTGTCTGTTATACTGACATGATATCACCACTCAACTACCATTACCTACAGAGCCACATAAACAATAACCAGATAGTATATTCACAATTAAAACAAAATATATTCCAAACTTACAAAATGAAAAATTTGCAACCTTTTCTTACACAGCTTTCTATGTAAATAACACAAATGAGAAAATAGTACTGACAAGTGTAAACTCAATGCATTATACCTTATTAGGATCAACTTTATCATAAAGTTTCAAAACCAAGAGAACTCTGCCTCGAATGAAATCAAGAGTGAGAGGCTCCTTGGCACTGTATAATCGTTTTGGAGATATCATCCTCTGGAATAAAAAACACAAAGAAGAATTGTAACAAAAATACTGATATGAATACCTTATCAGCAGTGACCTTGTCATATGCTCGGCAAACTGTAAGAACTCTTTCACGGATTTGATCCATTGAAGGTTTTGCATCAGCGAAGTGTCGAATTTGACTTGCCTGCCACCAAGACAGGCACTGTGAAGGGAAAGGGAAAACAAACTCACTTCCTATGAAAATTCTTATTTTCTTACAACATAATATGAGGCTTCACTCCACCCACTTCTGTCCCATCATTTTCTACACAGTAATGCTAACACAGTTTCAAATTCACCATTCAATACAACATAACTTCTGTAGCACAATTCAGATACCCAGTACTCAAATTTATGGATGTAAGTATTACGCACAAAATATGCGCACACTTCTTATTTCCTCAATGATAAAATGGAAGGATAGTGATTATATACTGGTTAAGACATGAAAAGAATTGGTCATGGCACCTTTGGTGGTACCATCTCAGCACTGTCTGAATGGATTACAGAAAATCGCAGAGGCAAAAATATGGCTAGTCTCCAAGCTAAAAACTCTATATAGGAAGTTTCATATATGAAATAGGGCTGCTAATCAGCCAAAACATTCATTTCCAAAAATTCAATTCAAGATCTACCTCTAACAGCTAACTGTTCCTCAACTGGTCAACTAAGTCCCTTGAATCTTGGTAACCAAATTTCGTTTTCATGTTCACATATGACCTATCCCAAAGCAACTAAATAAGCAGACCTGTACAAAATGAGACAGAGAGACATTATGAAAAGAGATCCTTCAGTAACAGTGGTATATCTATGATTATCAATGTTATTCGGTATTTCAAATAGTCACATGTTTAGGAATGGTCGTAAATAAGGCTTAGACATGATACAAAAGTTTGTTCAATAACCATACATACGTCAATTTTCGCAACTGCAGCTAAATACCTGTCTTATACCATAGAACATGTGATCACAGTATTCTATATTTATTTCGACAGTGTTCAGTCACTTGCTTCCTATAATATAAATTCGTGGTAGGGCACTGACTGCATCTGCTAACAATGATAACGACTTTCTTCTACATCCATACATCGAACCGTAGTTCGTCACATATATGTGAACCATCCCGAAGGTTTAACGGTGTTCTAAATATTTTTGCTCAAATGGCCTAACTGACCTACTGCATACCCCTGAACACTGGAGGGTAACAACACATAAACATACAAAAAAAAATAAATAATAAATGTTAGGCACGACATCGAGTCCGAGCCAAGCATTTCACAGGTTCCTACAATGGAAATGGGCCCTGACAACAGAACTGTACTATATTACCGGTTTAAATACAATAATGCCCATAATCAAGGTTCAATCGACATTAAGATACCTCAATTAATGATGATCTGTTAAATGCATGGAATTTTTTCCATGTCCTCGTGTGAATGTCATTTCGCTGAACACCAATTACTGCAGCTCGTGGCAACATAACCCTTACAAGACCTACATTTCTTACAAATGCATGGCGGACACAACTCGCAATCGCTGCCATTTTCTTTCGTAGCAGTTGTCCCATAATTCCATGGATCGACGTGCAGCCGAACAGCCGAACAAATCCGTGCTCTCCGTGCTCATCTGTACCGATCTGTACTATTGGTTGGCATTGGTCGGCTACGTCGGCTACCATGATGTTACGCTTCTGTACGGTCCATACAGAATACAGAACATACAGAACATACAGAACTTCCATCAACGTTTTGAATGTCAGTAATAATTGCTACCAATAGCTCCGTCGGTAAAAAAGATTTTAAGGACATTTTAAGGATGATGCATGAATGCGGAAATATGATGTTGATGTCGTGCACATGCAAATAGCAGTCTCGATCAGTGAGACTATAGACAAGAAATGAGAATTTCAACTCTGTGCGCATTTGGGATATTTGGAATTATACACAACTTACATAAGAGTTCGTTATGTTCGTTACTGCATTATGGAGTGTCATGCTTTTTGGCTCTCAATTGTTTGTAGGACAAACATATGCGGTCGGATGCAATCGGGATATCGGGATCGGGCTGATCCGGTCTGGATGCAATGAGTGCAATGGCAATGAGTATAACCAGTATAACTGTATAAGATAATGATCCGTGCTATGGTGCACTCTGGTGGTATTTGGCGGCAACAATTTGAAAATAACGAATGAAAGCTTGAAGAGTTTTGTCGGTTTATTTTACATTGTAACAATTTAAGGCAAGTACGTAACTTATTGTGTTTACATACATTTGTCATCGAATCATGAGGACTAATGATTTATTTTTATTATTTTACTTTTTGTGTGTGTGTAGAGAGAAAAGATAATGCCTCCAAGAAAGAGCATGCTAGGGAAGCGGAAAAATATTCCGCAACCTGTTCCTATTCTGCCTCCAATTTCTACCAGAAAACGTGGGCTTGGAGCAGGTAAGGAAACGTCATGTGCATCGTTTAAAATTCTAATCAGAGTCGTAGTCATCTTTATACCGTTAAAGCTGCCCACATAAAATTGAGCAATGTGTAGTTTGCTACAAAATGTCTTGTTTATATTGTCTAGTTTGAAAGTAATTTTGAAGATTACTGGCTATATAACCCATAAACTTGATGATTGGACTATTTCCACATCCTTAGATCTTGACTGATTTTTGCATTTAAGGTTACTGTCTTACCTTCAGAAGTATAGTAATTAACCATCCTCTTATACCTGTTATTCCAGCCAATGCTCTTTGCACACATTTCGAACCAACACACTGCACATGTATGTTGAATGATCATCATATATAATTCTTCTCCTTAAGCATAGAATAAGAGCACTTGAAAAATATATGAAATTAAAATGGTAATATAAGTATTGTCCCTTTGCTTAGCAGGAACTGTAACATATCACACATTTATTGCTTTGTTATGTGTCAGGAACCAGAAGTGGCCACAGTGCAAGGGACTTAGTCTCACCCCACTAGCAATAAAAAAAATACCATGTGTCAAGTATCCCATTTTACCACAAGATCCTGAACTAATCTAGGTAAAACAATTTGGCAAGAATCACTCTGCAAATGTTGGTCACTGTAGAAATCCATGAGAAAGCGGAGAATTATATGCCTGAAGATGGCCTCAACAGCTAAAACATGGGGCTAAATGTATATATTATTAATTATTATTATGTAAATGTTGTGTTAAGAGAACCCCCCACAGTTGTATTATAGCACAACATTGTGCTCTACTACAACATTTAATGTACAGATATTTCTGGTTCCTCACTTTTTCAGCCATATCTTATATGTAAATTTGGCTTTTAAAGTGTAGTCATGTTGTATGTTGGGGGTGCTCTGTTTCAGCTTGCATTGCAGTAACATCTTCAGCAGTGAATGTGTATACTAAAACAACAGTTTTATACTTTCATCTCAAATGCAACTTATTGTCTTGTCATACTTCTCTATCACCACACATTTTGGCTTTAAATCTACCTTGCCAGAGTTGTTCCACTGCATATTGTATGTATTGTGTGTGAGTTTGATGTTGATTATTAATTCAAATTAAGGTTAGAAGTAAAGAATAGGATTAAACTTTTTAAATGTTATTTTTCATTGCAGTCACCAGTTATTCATTCAAATATATTTGTTGATGCTGAACCTTGTTAAACTGTATTCCTTTGTTGCAGTGTGGGTATTTTCTGTAATGTGTAAATAATATGTTGTGGTATATAATATTTTTGTTGTTAGTTGTTTGCCGTTGTACATATGTCTGTTATTTATGTAGCTTGTGTAGATGTTGATATAGTGTTATTACGTGCATGTTATCTGTAATATGTAAGAATTATATTATTACATATTTGTTTATTGTTTTTAAACGTTAGTTTTGTCAAGGTAGACATGCCCCTGATGATGGCTGTATATGGCCGAAACATGTGGTGATAGAGAAGTAGAGCAAGACACTAAGTTGCATTTGATATGAAAATATATCTTTACAAAGTAAATACATTACTGCAACAGAATGCTCAAATACAATATTAAGAGCAATTTCAATGTATGATGCAGCTGAACACCAAAAGCAAAAGCTTTATATAAATATTTTGAATATGTACTGTACTTTGTGCCACTAAATGACATAATGCAAAAAAAAAAAAAACGTTTTCTGTAGGTTCAGTGAAACTGAAATGTCCAGAACGTGTGAATTTGGTGCATGCTAGACGTCAGCTGTGGTCACCATCAGAAGAATTCTTGACCAGGAATCAGAAAAATGAGAATCAGGTATAATACAAGTTTAGTTTTCATTCTATGAATTTATTGTGACAAAGTACCATATGGAAATGTTACCTGTCCATATACCAACATTAGACCAGCAGTTGCCAAACTGGAGGATTATGGGGTTGCAGGGGGGCCATGAGGTCTTGAAGAAAACCCTTTTTTCTCTCTTTTCTTTTAGGACTTTGGAACTCTGAAGAAAAGAAGAAGGCCACCTGAAGATGTGCACAACATATTAACTGCAGAAAACTCTAAGGAGAATGTTGGTTTTAGATTTCAGTTCAACTCCCTTACAAGTGAAAACAGAGGAAGCCCAACAGTACAGCGTTCACAGCATGTCAACACAAAGACTCTTATTTCCTCAAACACAGTGGGACCGTCTTGCTTTGGTTACACAGCATCTATTCCAGATGCACCTGTACTCCTGAAATCAAACAGGTCACAAAGAATTGTAAGTTTCATAGGTCGTCTTGCAACAACACCTAAGGGATTGGGTGAAACATCTATGGTATCTGGCTCTGTGGTAACAGGAACCAGTGAAATACCTAAACTTCTTGATTCTAAAGGATCCCAAAGGCACGCAGGTCTCTCAAATCAACTTTCAATCAAATCTAAGGAATTTGGGAGTGGAATATTTACATCATCTGATTCTGCAGTAACAGGAACCAGCGAAATACCTAAACTTCTCGATTCTAAAAGATCCCAAAGGCACGCGGGTCTCTCAAATCAACTTTCAATCAAATCTAAGGAATTTGGGAGTGGAATATTTACATCATCTGATTCTGCAGTAACAGGAACCAGTGAGACTCCTAAACTTCTCAGCTCTAATAGATCACAAAGGTGTGAAAATTTCATGAGTCAGCTTTTGACAGAGTCTGATGAACTGGGCAAAATATGTCCATCGTCCGATTCTGAAGGACCAGAAATAAGTAATGTATGTAAATTTATTGAATACGACAAATCACAAAGAATTTCAAGCTTCTCAAGCAAGCATACTGCAGAGTCAAGCAAATGTTACAGAAAATTTGCTTCTGATTGTGGAGCCATTGATGGAATCAGATTTCTTGAGTCACAAAATTTGGAAACTTCAGTATGCCAAAGTAAGCCTGAGTGGTCTGACAAAGTGACCTGTCACAGTGGAGGAACAGACAGCTTAAGCAAACCTTTTCTATCCAGATCTAACAAATCTGTAAGAACTTTTGGAGTCGCTTCTCAAAATGATAAGAAGTCTCATAACCCTGGTAAACCACTGGCCAATAATCATGGAGGAATGGAAACAAAATTTGCTGCTGCAGGTCTTTTGCCAACGCAGTTATGGGGTCACGGAAGTTGCGCACAGGCACAGATAACAGACAGGATACATGTGGGTGCAGAGACTTCAGATACAGCGACATCCATCCTTATCAAATCTAAAATACCCCAGAGAGTTAGAGGACGTGTACATGAAGGCATGAAAGAATTCAAGGAATCTGATAGCATATTATCACCATCTCATCCAGCAACAAATAAACAGTGCGACGTCCTGTCATCACGAGGCCCTTTTCTAATGAGAGAAGAGGCATTTGGCAAATTATATACAGGACAATGTGATGAACCTAATGTGAATCCAGGGAAGTCAAGATTATCATCTGTTCAACAAACAGTAGCACCTGTGTGTTTTACATCTACTAATTCATGCACATTCACAAGTTTCATAAACCCAGAAATAACCAATAAGCCAGCCACAGTTAAATCAAAGAAACATAATGTTTCAGCTTCTAATTATGGCAGGATAACCACAGAATGTATTCGGTTGAAAGCTAATCAGTCACCATGGGTCTCTGGTACTAGTGGTTCCATTGCTACAGGCTCAGTGGTGACTCATTCTATAAAGAAAAGATCTACAGAGGTATCCACAGATAGAAATATATATACAACTTCAGACAGTCCTTGTAAACGACAATGTGAAGAAGTTAACCGTGGGAAAGAACCTGATAATCATAAAAAATCCAGCCTCTTACATAATGTCGCTGCTTCAAGGCTGGTGGAAAAGTCATCAGAACCAAATATGCATGCTAAATTGGTGATTCAAAACAGTAAAGAAGCATATGGACCACTGAACATTGCGACTGAATCTGCAAGTGATGACATAGGTACTGCTGAATTGCAGTATCCTATAGAAACAAAATTTTTGTTGATGAGAAATCCTCCTGGTGTTTCAGCCAGTGAAATTAACAACATGCAGAACAGTAGCAAAGAAAATTCAGTAACTCAAAATCCATCGATGTTGGTATTTGAAAAAAGTGAATTGCCAGATGCTCTTTATGAGTCTTCAAGGATGGCAGTGCACCATAATACACTACCTGATGAGACATTCACAGTTGCAAGTAGAGGTATATTTGCTGTTTCAGTAGCAACACAGACAGATTTCATTACGAAAAACAACACGCCTGTTCAGACTGATAATTTAATTTGTGCTAATTCAGCTGTAGCAAAAATTCTTGCTCTGTTTGAGTCACAGCAGACACAGTTAGATGCTTTATGGAAGAAACAGGAAGAAATACAAGAAATTCAGAAGCAGACAAATGTTATACGTAACGAGATGTTGAATATTTTAAATGATGAGTTGAACAGTGAAATTTTTAGAGAAGGGAATAATCACTCTTCTGATGTTGGACCAGGTAACAATTACAAGAATTCAGAAGAGTCCTCGGTTTCAAGAAGACCATTGAGGCGTTCAGAAAGAATTGCTGCACAAAAATCACTTACAGTCACTGGTGACAGAACATTTTCTGGGAGCAAATCAGTACCAGCCACACCTATGCATCTCAAATTTGATGACAATCCAAGTGCAAGATCTCTTGCAAGATGTTCAGCAACAGAGTTGAAGTCGGCAAGTGTTTATAAAGAATTACGCTCCAGCTTTCACTTCCTCAAAACACCACAGAGCACAAGACGATGTCATGCAAGAACTCCAAAAGACACGCCTACTCGAATTTTATCACAGCATTTGCAAGATCAAATAGTATCTTTGTTTGATTGAAAGTCATAAATGCCATTACACTGATTCAAAAAGTTTTAAAATTAGTGCAGTGAGAATGCAATGCTTTCCATTCTCATCTACTTTATATAACCAAAACTAAGAAAACATTTTTGAAAGTTTTTAATGAAATGTTCTTCTCAATATTAGTTTCTGCATTGTGAATCAGTTATCATTATCAGGCAATTTAATGTGTTTTATTTCTATGTAGGATACAGGCACGAACCAGAATTTATCAGCACTGTCAGAATTTTCACACTAGGTGTGATTAAAAGTGTGGTTGCTGTAGTGTTCTGTCAGATTTCATGAACCATTAATAAGGATAAGGCCATGTCTTATCTGCCCTTATTTTCAACATTTTGCTTGTTCTCTCTCTGAATTCCTGTGAGTCCGTAGAATGGCAGAAGAAATTCTCTCATATTTCAACTTCATTCATGTTTAATTGTTAGTGCAAAAATTTTACAATTGTGTGGCATGTCTCTCAGGTGTAGAAAACTGAAATTAATAACCGTGGGCATCCATTGCGCTGACCACGCAACACCCTGTATCCACTAAAGTTGGCACCAACTTCGCCAACAAGCGGCGGTCACTCGGTCGGTATAGTTCACTTGCAGACTACACGCTCTGTGGCACGTTTCATTGCATCCATCTTTGAGTGAGGCAGTCATGATTTAGTTTCAGTGTTCATGAGTAAAACAGTCTTGTATACTAAGTGTATCTCTATATTCCTTGACATCACTGAGCTTGTTTATTCCAATGTTACTTCAGGCGGTGAGCTGTGTCAAGATGAAATGGATTTCCAAAATTACAGAAACACATTGCCTCTGCCTTGGATTAAGATGAACTGTGCTACTGTACTGTAGTCCAACAAAGAGAAGATGAGGCAAGTGGTGAATAGAATTGGTGATCCTCGACTATTCTGCTGCTTGTTGAAGGATACATTACACTTCATAACGAGTGGTGAGAAGGGGTGCCTCACAACCAAGCTGATATTTTCAGCTTACATGGTACTTGGGGCAGGCCTTTCCTTTTCTTTGTTAGAGTATGGTACATTGTATTTATGAATACTGTTTATTCCTGAAGACCCTGAGTTAATACATTTTGCAGTGGAGTTGTTTGTCATATCAATCCCTGATGATGGACACACTAACATATTTTGAAACACTGGAAGGGCATTCCACCTTGACACAGCTGACTGACTTCATTGCATTTACTTGTCATCAAAGCTACAGACTATATATACTGTCGATATATTGTCCTAATTTATATAAATGTGGTTCCATTATTTTTCATATTTCAGCAAGTGGCTTGCTTTGAACTTCAGACTTCGAAATTTGGTGGGACAAAAATTACGGTTTCAGATTGCTGCAATTTAATGTTGTCCAGTGGCTGTTTAGACAAATGTTAATATTTTCGTCGTATGTTCCACTAACAATTTTGTGATACTTTTCACCTTTGCTCACTGCAGTAAGTAGGATTTATAAGGGTGCTGAGGTTGTGGTGGGAGTTTTAGGGCTCTGTCAGGTAATACCAGCAGTTCCACTTCATTAATAATGTCACATAGTATGGATATGTGACTGTTAGACGGGGTTTGGATTGGTGAATAGATTTATTGACCACATACAAGTCGTAACTACATAACTATTGCTGAGTAAGATTTTATGTTTTTACATCGGCGACCATGAAGGAGCGTATCGCCTCCAGCTTCAGGGTATAAAAATCTACGAGCCACCTGCTCACGGTTGTTCCTCGCTTGCGGATTTTTTTATCCTGAAGATGGAAGCGATACATTCCTCAGAAATGTCGATTTACACAATATCTACACAGCGCCATGTCCCAGAACTCATTCTTCAACCATTGCTTATTTCCAAAGTACAAATCACTGCACACTAAGTCTTCTCAGTGTTCACTAGTTGTATCCTGGCAGTGGATTTAGAACAGTCACTGTAACTACAGCACACATAAAGTCTTCACAATCTGACTTTCAAGTTTCAACTGAACTTATTGCCATCTCCTCTCAATCATCTTCGACTGCCATTTCAAGACTCCCTCACTTATTACTTCAGCTGGCCTTGGATCCTTGTTATATAGTCTCGGGGCGGCCCCAACAGAAAACAGTGTTTCCTAACAATACCTTCATTGTTCCTTACATATTCATTGCCGTGAGAACCTGTTTCCTGAGTCATTGCCTACTCTGGCTTTTAGGCATCATGTCACAATACTTTATTGAATGAATGTTAAGTGTAGATGCTGAGTGAAGGTAAATTGCCTAAAGAAATGGTGCTTATGTTAAAATATATTTGTCCTTTGTTAATAATTAACTTGGTATCACAGATTTCTAAGTGCCTCGGTATAAGATTCATGCCTGACAGAAATTAATGCAAGTCCCACTTTTTTGTGGGGTGGATGGACCATCACCCAACTGTTTATCCCACAAGGCAACTCAGGACAATGCAACAAAGAATAAATTTACTAGTTACACAATGATGAGAAACAGAGGTAGCTGGGCAGTCTCTTGTAATTACTGGAATTTCTGGCACGTATGGACAGCATAAACTTGGTTCATACCTTTCTTAATAGATCGCCCTTTAAACATTTTAAAAATTTCTGCAATTGATAAATGCAGTTATATTTTATTTATAGGAAGAAAGAGAGGAACTAAAAGACTGAGACTGAAAATAGGACAGAATGGGGTCCTTTCCATCTATAGCAACAGTCCAAGCCTAGTGGAACCCACGTGTAATGTTCCTCAATTTAAGGCCTTTTCATGTGATGTTCCCAGCTCAATGAACTGAGTTAAATATCCTACATTTATGATTATTCCTCGTTTAGTGTTCAAATTCACTCCTCCCCAGGCAAGTCACAAATGGAAGTTTTAGTGTCCTTATTAAATTCTAAATGAAGAGAAAATTAACAATTCTGATCTAAAATCTGTCATGAAGAATCTGAGCTACATTTAGGAATGAAGTTTGTATGTTGACAATGAGTTAAATGTATTGAAGGCTTCATATGTTGGCCAGACTGTTCTAAACAGTTGCAGAGGAAGCAGAATATATTGCATGATGTTAATTTTTTATTTAACACTTCAGTCGTCCAAATGTGCTTTTATCATTGCTGTAGGATGAAACACAATTAGAACACATTTCAAAAACATTATTTTCTATACTGCAAAATTTCTGAAAGTGAGCGAGTTCCATATTTGTGTCAAACATGACTTGTTTTTACTGATTTTGCAAGAGACATGTGAACTGTAATCTCTGAAATATTGGGAACAAAAGAGATTTTCAGGTTAGGAGTACCAGTAGTGCCTGGGTGATCAGCAGTCATGGTGTACTCCATTTCATCTTTCTCTTCTTTACCTCCCTCCCTCTTAATGTGTATACCTTTATTTCCTCTTTCATTTACTCTGTTTTTTTAAACAAATATTATTTTTGGCATGTTTGCAACAAAGTAACAATTAGCATAATTTGCTAAATATTTAATGGAACAAAAACTATTTTGATTAGATGCTGTAGAAACAAACTAAACACATTTATACTCAGTAGTATTTTTGAGACAGGAATGGGGGAGAAGAGGAATGCATATAGGATATTGGTGGGAAAGCCAGAAGGAAAGAGACCACTGGGAAGAATAAGGCGTAGGTGGGTGGACAATATTAAAATGGATCTTAGAGAGATTTTGGTTTCCATAAAATGCTGGGAAATTCTTGAATAGCTGCAGATTTTGCTTCTCCTCAAGAAGGGTTCAGCTCCATAAGTATTATTTTTGAGATATTTAATGAAAATCAGTGAATGTGCCAGAAATGTTTGTACATTTCCTACTTCCATTTTTCCATAGCTAATGTTGCTTTGTTTATATAAATAACAATGTTGCACACTGTTTAACACCTACAATAAAATAGTATAAATATAATTTTTTAGGAAAAGTATTTAGTTCACATTTGCATAAATATCTGAGTAGTTGATTGAGGCACTATGCTACAAGGTGGAAGGTCTCGGGTTCAAGTCTCAATGAGATCATTGGATTTTTCAATTGATCTGATCCTTCCAGCCACATTATGGTCCTCATGTCTACTCAGCCCCTAACAGAAATGAGTACCAAGAAGCTTCCTGGGGATAAAGGGCAGCCAGTACTCACTGCCACCTGTGAGCCATTTGTGTAGAAAAATATGGGAGCCTGACATTTCACAACGCTATGGGCCTCCATTGCCTGTTACAGGGACAGCTTTAGAAATGTAATTATTCAGAAAAAAATATAGTTTTATGTGAAGAGACATTTATGTATTTTATTGTGTATGTTTGTTGTGTGGTAATGAGATATGAATCCATATAAATATTTATGACAGTACATTGTTTTAAGTGACTTTTTTTTTGTGAACATAGAATATTAAATTACTATTATAAAATGTAATCTGATCTTTGCTTATGTAGATCCCTTATATGAAATTAATATGTGATCATGCAGATGTATTCATAACAATAAGAAAAGCCTAACTCTGATGAAACACAATAAGAACTTGGTTTAATTGAGTTTCTGGATATTGTCATCATCTGGTAGAACATGTCTCTGGTCCAATGATGGAGATTAGCTCTTTCTAACAGACTCATTTGAGCAGATGCCTCTCCCCTCCTGAGGACAGAAACAGATGCAGTTTCCAGAATGTGTTCTGTTTAGATTACTAGACAAAAAATACAGAAATTCTGTAATACACTGAACCGCAACTTCATATTCCTGGATTTAATATCTTCCCTCAATGTTATTTTCTACTAACCACAAGTCAATAGCCTTAGTGTTATATTTCCCTCGGTTTAATGTTAGATCCACTGCTCCCCAGAGAAAACGTAAACAAGTGTTTCACTGTAAAGGAAAAGTTGTCCCTGCAGTTAATTAAGTACCACACTATGAAGACATGAGGGTGTGGATGTATTGTACCACCATTCTTGACCTCGGTACTAGATGGAGTTGAGTGTTCAGCTTCACTTCCCTACTGCTTTATCCTGCTAAGGTTAATTACCAGTATCCGAACCCTTTAGAAGTGAATGTTAAGGATGGTAGTATTTGTAATGTTTGTCATTTCCATGGAGACCAAATGCAGGACTGATTTCCATTGCAGAAAGTAGCAGCAATAAATGGTCTTTCAGGCAGTATCACAATGCTGTCCCTTGCCAAGGAATAAGAGTTCTAGACTGTTATCATTATTTTATCAAGCTGCCTGCCCATAATTTTCAAGCTTGCATAGTACATTCAGTGTTATCATGATTCAGAGTGTCCCTCAAGGACTGTAATGTAGATCAATGGAAGGATTATCTGTGAAATCAGAGGTAGAGATAGAAAATGTCAATTGTACTATACTGGTAACATACATTAAATCTGCAACACGATATTTTTCCTCATAAAGACTGAAAAAAAAAGTGATTTTATCATTCATAACAAAATTCCAGAAAGTCTAATGCAAATAAAAACATATCTTTTTGTTATGATTTCTCTATGTAAGCACATGTAATGCAGGACTTGATGACACATGTGAGTTGTCTTGATTTTGATAGTCAGTAATTTTCATGTTCAGCATGTATGTTGAACACAGTTTGAACATTTTTTCTACTATAAACATAAGCTCAAAATCTTTGTCTTACATGTTTGTTTACAATATTTCAGGTGTACTATTGAAAAATGATTATAACAAGAAACAAAAAATGGCCAAAATATCCAGCTAGGATTATGGTCTCTTGTGTTGTGACACTATGTGCTTTGGTAGGTAGATATATCTACCAAATTATGATGTGTCATGTCCCAGAAAACTAATGTTTACATTCACTGCTACAAGAACATAATTAGTCACTTCTTATAGATATAAAAGTTGTTAATAATAAATTATAAAATTATAGTTTATTCAAGTTATGAATTTATGCAATAACAATACATTTTCAGAATAAGATCATTTATACAACTACTCTGACTCCAGTATGCATTTATTCTACTCACAGTACCCAGTATTTGAAATCTATCATTATTTTTTGTTGACTCTCTGACTGTTGCCTCAAATAGTGCACTTCCTGGTACTGTTTCAATCAGTACCACATAGTCTTTGTGTTCTGAGTCATGTGTTCTACCCCGCACATTCACGAGACGATTTAACCTCAAATCTGCGCACTTCTTGAACTTATCTATTCTAGTCACTGCCTTCCGTAACCTGGCCTGAATTTCGGATAACACAAAGTTTGCAGCAGCCAAAACTGTGTCACCAGTGGTTGACAGTGTTTGATAGTGATTACACGTGCACCAGTGTGGAGTTATTCCCGCATCATCACAAGTTCTGTTGTAGGACACTTTCTCAAAGAGGCTCATACATTTTGGACATCCAGCACTTCCATTCATGGAAATCGCATTTTTTGCATTCTCACTATTTTCTCCAGTATCACTGTCTTGGTTTCTACCAAGAATATCCTTCAGTGTAACATGAACATCATATGGAGAGGTTAGACGATCCCTGTTTATTACAATATTCTTTGCCACCTCAGGATATTTTTGTCTGAACCAAAGAGGAATCCAAATGTAGAAGAAAGGTAGACGTTCCTCCAGCCATCCTATAACAGTCTCTCGTATTTTCCCAAATCGCATACCATGATCACTCAGGAAAATTACAAGTGTATTATTGAGTGTTCCGATTTCAGCTAACTCATTAAAAAATTGCATAAATCTAAAGTCCATTGCTGCTGGAGTGTTGTGATTGTTATGACCAAGATTGTTGATCCACAGCAGAGCAAAATAGAGTGCCTCTCTGAAAGTTGTTGCAAAGTCTGTAGCATATCTCAATAAATGTTCAGTGGTTGATGTGGGACCTAAACATATGTCAAGTTGATCTCTGGTCTTTGATTGCAGTTTCTTTTCTGCTGCAAGCATGTATGGCCTTAGATAATAATCAGTTGGAGGATTTATGAATCCAGTCTTTTGATAATTGAAGGTTGACACCTTGGTAATATCTTCTCCAAAGGCTGTGACGTAACCTTGGTTACTGAAGTCACACCATATATATGGGCAATCATCTAGTTCTGATTCTTTGTTTGGCCAACATGTCTTCTTTACCTGGTCCAAGGTGAGTCCAGTGAGGATGGCCATTAGATTTGGGAATGTGTTATCACCCACTTTATTGTATCCCCTCAGTTCAAACCAACCGGTACGATGAAGATGTGACACTGTTTTGGGCATTGTTCGAATCAGGTTAAGGCGAGATATTGAGTCGAGGCCTATGAAAAGAACACTGAGCCTATGTCTGTGTTCTGAATTATTTTTGTGCAGTGTCTGTTTAGCTGTGAGCTTAGTTACGACGTGCGGCTTCATTGGGACAGTTGCATGCATATTGCTATACACTTCATTTCCTTTAGAGCCATCCTTTTTGGTGCTGCATCTGACTAGTGTAAATTCTGACTCTGGCTGTAAGGTAACCTCTTCCTCAAAAGTCACACACTTGCTAATACTGAAACAAGAATTATTGAGAAATGTTGTTATTACTAATTACTGATAATGTCGTACAGCTTGTAATGTGACCATTTAAATAAATTCCCATCTGAGGTTAAACTCCCAACATTCACATATAAATCCTTTGTATCAAGTTAACTGAAATCAATTGAAAGAGAACTAGCCAAGTGTAATTTAAATTTAGTAGAACATGAGCAGAGTGCTGAGGTGGATATTTTGACCTAAGAGGCATGAAATGACAGGACACTGGAGAAAATTACATAATGAGGAACTTCATAATTTGTACTCCTTCCCAAGTATTAGATTGATAGAGGATGAGATGGGTAGGCATGTAGCATTCATGGGAAAGAAATGCATGCAAATGGTAGGAAAACCTGAAGGAAGAAAACCACTAGAAAGACCTAGGCATAGCTGGAATAACAATATTGAAATCTTAAAGATATAGGCTGAGAAGATGTGCACTGCAACCATTTAATATATACACTACTGACAGTAATTATTGGTCAGCACAAATTCATTCTGCATCTGTGGAGACATATACAGTGCTGTAACTTTTATGTGAAGGGAAATGAAATACTTTAATCCTTTCCTATATTCTGGCAGAAGGCCTCTGACAGATCTTTCCCATGCAGATCCATTGCCATTGAACTTCTCATATATAAAACTCTTTTTTTTATTGCTAGTGGGGTGGGACTAAGTCCCTTGTACTGTGGCCACTTCTGGCCTATTGTACCAGCCCCAGATGATAGGCGAGGGTGATTGTGAAGCAATTGGTGGAATGAAGATTGGCAGGGGAAACCGAAGTACTCGGAGAAAACCTGCCCCAACCCCACTTTGTCCACCACAAATCCCACTTGACCAAACCCGGGCCGCTACGGTGGGAAGCCAGCTATGGCGCAGNATTAGGATCACATGACAAGTGAAGGTATGTATGATCTGTGTTTCCTCACTGCTACAGAGACACAAATCTTGCATTCTTGTTTACAGTTAAAAGAGGATACTTGGTGTGGAGTCCAAGTTGCAAGATTCCTGATATGGATCCCCATCATGTGTCTATTAGAAAGCTCCTGAAGTCTGTGGAATCAATTGTGTGCTCAAAGTTTGGTCCACTCACCTACATCAGCACCCCTACTGCAGCACTTGCAGAAAACAACTGGAGTACTCCGTACATTCTCCGGATTGATAGTGCAATGGCACATTACTATGTACCAAACAAACAGAACTATTCCTGTTGCTATGCTGATGTCACACGGGCAGCAATTGATATGAAAGACAACCGGACAGTAGACAGCAAGTATAAGTAAGAGTTACCTTATTTCACCTGATGGCTGCAGATGGTATTAATATTGTATGCAAAAACATCTTTGAGGGTACATTATACTCATTGTCAAAGATAAATCACTTGGGTTCAATAAGATCTCTGATATAAGAGGTTTTGGTGAAAATAGTATCTAGTAACTTTCTAATGATGATGAAATGGTTTATATGACTCTCAGATGATGATGTAACAACACAGATGTTTTAAACACAGCATAGTTACATAAATTGGATTGTTACCAGACCAGAAGCTGGGTCTCATATAAATGCAATTGAAAGTAAAAGACTCACAATAGGCATTACTAGGTACAACATTAGAGTCAATCTCACCGACCACACAACACACTCTCATTACTATTACACTACATATTTTGACCTCAAGAGGTCATCCTCAGGTGTACAAACACGGCTGTATAATTACACGCAATCACATTCGTCTTCTCACTTATTCGATCCTGTATCTTATTCAGGCCCACGCTCAATAATATATCAAGCTCCTCTCACAAAACACAAGTTAAAATATTATTCTAAATGTCAAATTTAAAATTTGTGATTCAGATCACTAGTTATGCTTTCACTTTCACTTGCTATTCAGTCACTTCCTACTTATGCTCATCACTGCGTCAAATTCACTTTAACTAGTTTAATTGTATTATTGGTTAGAAGTTCATGAATTAAAGTTCAATTTTATTATTATTATTATTTAAATATCAGTAGCCATCACGACAAGGACTGTAACAGATCCAGCAACTTAAGAGGACACGGTACAACAGCGAGACCTCCAAAAAGTGACAAGTGCAATCAATATAATAAAATTGAACTTTAATTCATGAACTTCTAACCAATAATACAATTAAACTAGTTAAAGTGAATTTGACGCAGTGATGAGCATAAGTAGGAAGTGACTGAATAGCAAGTGAAAGTGAAAGCATAACTAGTGATCTGAATCACAAATTTTAAATTTGACATTTAGAATAATATTTTAACTTGTGTTTTGTGAGAGGAGCTTGATATATTATTGAGCGTGGGCCTGAATAAGATACAGGATCGAATAAGTGAGAAGACGAATGTGATTGCGTGTAATTATACAGCCGTGTTTGTACACCTGAGGATGACCTCTTGAGGTCAAAATATGTAGTGTAATAGTAATGAGAGTGTGTTGTGTGGTCGGTGAGATTGACTCTAATGTTGTACCTAGTAATGCCTATTGTGAGTCTTTTACTTTCAATTGCATTTATATGAGACCCAGCTTCTGGTCTGGTAACAATCCAATTTATGTAACTATGCTGTGTTTAAAACATCTGTGTTGTTACATCATCATCTGAGAGTCATATAAACCATTTCATCATCATTAGAAAGTTACTAGATACTATTTTCACCAAAACCTCTTATATCAGAGATCTTATTGAACCCAAGTGATTTATCTTTGACACTGAGTATAATGTACCCTCAAAGATGTTTTTGCATACAATATTAATACCATCTGCAGCCATCAGGTGAAATAAGGTAACTCTTACTTATACTTGCTGTCTACTGTCCGGTTGTCTTTCATATCAATTGCTGCCCGTGTGACATCAGCATAGCAACAGGAATAGTTCTGTTTGTTTGGTACATAGTAATGTGCCATTGCACTATCAATCCGGAGAATGTACGGAGTACTCCAGTTGTTTTCTGCAAGTGCTGCAGTAGGGGTGCTGATGTAGGTGAGTGGACCAAACTTTGAGCACACAATTGATTCCACAGACTTCAGGAGCTTTCTAATAGACACATGATGGGGATCCATATCAGGAATCTTGCAACTTGGACTCCACACCAAGTATCCTCTTTTAACTGTAAACAAGAATGCAAGATTTGTGTCTCTGTAGCAGTGAGGAAACACAGATCATACATACCTTCACTTGTCATGTGATCCTAATTTGTAAGAAATATGGATGGATAAATTTAAAGACTAATACATATTTTATTTTCAAATCTGAAAGTTATTAGAATATTGAGAATGGTAGTTAAAGGGTCATGACGGAATATAAGAGTTCTTTACATGGGATGGATGCATCAGTCTTCTCTAGTTCCCCACTGCTGAAGATTGGCTGCACAGGTGGATGGAGGAGTTGTATTGGCTGGCCAAATCCCAGCAGGTAAAACATGGACACCAGAGTGACGCAGGCAATTATGGCAACCACCCGGAGACATGGCTTTGTCTGTGACCCCAGTCCCAGCATTGTGACTACAAGGCACAGAGGAAGCCTAGCCACTTCTGGAAGAAAGAAGGAAAAAATACACAGGGCCCTTAGGTAACTACACTGAAATCTTTATCCAGAAAAATATGGTTGAAAATCAGAATTTCCAGATAAATTTTAGCTGAGAGTTTCTGTATCCAAGTCTAAGAAAATGCATCCATCAATCTGAAAGCTGGTACTAGGTCACATATGGACAGACAGAGACATCATTTCCATACAAGGCTTTTTTTTTTTCTTTTTGCAATTTGTATCTGCAGTGTGGTCCTGAATGAAGGAGGATTATATCTTCTAGTCACAAGCGTGCACACGCAAGCACACACACACACACACCATCTTCGTGGATTTGTTCATGCATAGACTGTTCCGTACTCTTGAAGAGTATGCTGGTCCCTCATGAGGCCTGCTTCTCTTATTTTGAGGAACTTGAGTGTGTCTGTTTTTACAACCCAGTGCCAGAACTCCATCACTGAGGGACAGGACTTATGAGACTCATGTGCTTAACTAATTAAGCTCTACGCCATGAAGATGTGTGGGTGAGTGGATGTAGAGTTTCATGCTTTTTTAACCTTGGCACTAGGTGGAGGTGAGTGGTCAGTTTCACGCCCCTGCCGCTTTACCCCAGGGGAAAGAGCCCCCGGTACCCATTGATCAGGACATTAAGTGGACCCCAGAGCCGGCTTGGACTACGTGGAGAAGAGAAAATTCTTAACCTTACTGGGACTCAAGATCCCACACTTCAGTCGTCCAGCCTGTAGCCAGTCGCTATACTGACCACGCTATCCTGGCTCATATACAAATACACACACACACACACACAAATATACACGCTCACAGGCCGCGCCATAGCTCAAGCGCTTAGTCGCTGGCTTCCCACCGCGGCGACCCGGGTTCGATCCCGGGTCAGGTCAAGTGGGATTTGTGGTGGACAAAGTGGCGCTGGCACGGGTTTTCTACAAGTACTTCGGTTTTCCCTTCCAATTTTCATTCCACCAAATTCTCCAGCATCATAATCACCCGGGGCAGGCTACAATAGGCCAATCACTGGCCGACGTGCCGAGTGGACCCAGCTGGACTCTCTCCCCACTATGCGAATTTTATATACACGCTCGGCCGCATGATTTTGTGTAACCAAAAGGTAGAATTAAAGATGTCCGTCTGCTTAATTACTTAAACACCAAGCCATGAAGGCATATGGGCCAGTGGAGGCATAGTTCCACCATTCTTGACCTCTGCACTAGATGGAAATGAATGGTCAGCTTCATGTCCAGGCCGCTTTACCCACGGAGACAGAGCCTCCGATACCCATCGGAAAGGGGGCTGTTGGGTCCCAGAGCCGGTCTGGACGCTGTGGAGGTAGGAAGAGATCTCTTGCTCCTACTGGAAATTTAACCACGGCCGTCCAGACCTTCGCTGCACTGACTGAGCTACCCTGACTCCATTTGTGTGGCCTGTATTATACGAACGTCCTGGATTTCCGGTAGCCGGTCGGGGATTCAAACCAGATACCTCCCAAATACGCGACATGGCCTGCAGCTTATGTACTGTGTAGCGCCGAATGTGAAACGTTAAGCTAATGAATGACTGGCGGAGGGGAAGGGGAAGGAAAGAGAAGGTGAAAAAGCAGAAGAGAGTTATCATAAACTATTCTCCATTCATCCATCCACCCCCCCCCCCACATACATATGTATAGAGACCACTGGACTCTAAAGGGTTGAGAAGATCCTGTCAGGATAACGGGTCATGTGGCCGAGAACCTAACCAGATATCACTTGTCAATTGCTGTTTAGCAGGTCGAACTTTCTGGTCACCGAGTCGTAATCACTGTACGAACTGCCAGGTGGTTGAAGCCCTCCTGCGGTAGCCCGAGACGTGAAACTGTAACCGCTCATTCTAATTGGTGGACTATTGTGTATTAATTATGCCTATATTAAGTAAATACAGAGAGAACCCGGCAGATAGCCAACTCTCACATGCAGAAGGGACATAGTTCAAGTTTTGCTATGTGGACAGGAAGTAACATCTGGTACTTTCCTGGAATTCTGGCAGTTTCAGCAAAGTCGGAAAGTCTTTGAGAATTTGAGAGCTGACAGCTCGGAACAGCGATAACTTAAAAGTGGGAGGGCCGGAGCCTCATCCCCTGATCGTAATGCATCAAGGGGCTGTCAACCTTAGCGTCAGGTCAGCATCTGCCAGAATCACATAGCAAAGCAACATGATTGGAAATTCAAAATTTAGCGAACCTCCTAGTTTGAAAACTTAACCAATGGCAAAAGTGGAGGAGTGGATTTCTCTTGGAGTCTGTGGTTCGTGGACCTCAGGATTCAGAGAGAGAGTGGATTCCACCTCAAGGAGTCTTCATCCAACTTTCGGCGAAGTCAGTCTCAAATTTACAACTACGTTCCTTCAGAAAAGAAAGTATTACATGTTAATTACAATTAAGTGTAAACATTAAGTTTCCGTAATATTCAGTGAACGGAAGTGAATTAAATCATTTCTAAGTGCAAAAGTCTGAAGTGGTGTGTGATTGTAGCGAAAGATTCTTCCTGCCCTGCCCGAGCCAGACCCGTATAAGACCCCGGGATAAGAACTCACCTCTACCAGTTTCAGAGCAGAACCCAGATACTCCCGTCTTTACCTACTTGCGACACACGTACAGGAAGCGAACTCTCGCCTACCAGCTCGAACAACCACAATTCTTCTCCCTTCCCACCTAACTTCTCGACATCCACGAGAGGAGGGAGGACAGTGATAAGTGGGCACAACGTAGGATCAAGGGAGGACGGTGATAAGGGCAACCAACAAAAAGGGGCCAACGAAGTGAGCGGTTAGAGAACTGACCACTCACCTCCATCTAGTGCCGAGGCCAGGAAGACTGAAGCTATTCCTTTGCTCCCCCATAAGTCTTCATGGCGTGGTTCGTAATTAATAGAGCACATAACAAGTTTGCCTTTTATTTTACCAACTTTCTCATAATATCATCACTATATATGTAGTCTTCGACCGCCTCTGTAGTATAGCGGTCACAGTTCCTGCTTACAGATCCAGAGGTCCCGTGTTCGATTCCCGGCGCTACCAGATTTTGTGAGAAGTAGTGGGTCCGGAACGGGGTCCACTCAGCCTCGTGAAGATAACTGAGAAGCTGTTTCAAGGAAACAGCGCCTCCGGTATAGAGAACCGAGATTAACGGCCGTGGGGATTCGTTGCGCTGGCCATGCGACTCCCTCTATCCGCCAAAGGTGACACTAACTTCGCCGACAAGCGGCGGCCGCTCGGTCGGTATAGTTCGCTTGCGGACTACAGGCCACCGAGTTTAGTTTTTTAATCTGTAGGTATGATAGTCTAGAAGGAACCAAAAGTAGCTTCATATGAATTCGGAATAAAAATTATTATGGTACTAATAAGAACAGTAAAGATTATTTTCCCTGCCGTAAGCCGGAACTTCATTGCCCTGACAGTGTTCATATATTGTATTTCCATTTGGTTTACTCATTGAAGGAAGCGTCGATCGAACCGGATAAATGTTATTTGCATTTTCAGCAGAAGAAGATGGCGACATCTTCTCTTTTCCGACGAATGCCCAGCACCGGATTGAAGATGGCGATTTTGAATAGGTTACGGTTATTTTTTTCATTCCTTGCATCAAATGGGTTACAGTTTTATTTTCATTTTCAACGAGTTGTCCGTTATAAAATGGACAACAGCAGTAAACAAATGGTACACTCAGTTCTACCTCTTCAGTTAACAAAGATATCAAACCGTACACCATGTCTGAACAAGAATTATGCATTTAAATGCAGATATGTGTGACAAGACAAAAGAACAACACCAACTGCACAGGTAACGTTTGTGCGTCCATTTCGTTATTTACTTGAAATTTTTATTTGTTGCCAATCTTGTGGAAATCCGTTTTGTTTTGTTTTGTTTTGTGTGTTTCAGGTCCCGCTGATATCCTCACCGTGGCGAGCGGGCGAAACAAAGAACGGTGCACGCCCGAAATTAAAGTCATTGTTAAATTAATCTCAACATCTTTCTTTCTGATGAAACTTTTTTTTTTTCTGTTAGTCGTCTTTGAAAACTCATGAACACATAATAGTTTCCTCGTGTTAGTCTGTAGGTATTTTTTTTCCATATTGTACTAGTGTTAACTAAATTTGGTGTTTATATCTTTAATAAAAACTTACGTGCCGACTTTAATAAAAGTAACTTTGTGTACATAACTATTACTATATATGTATGAACGTAAATATACTATACTCGTACATATAGTGGGTCCCAGAACAGTTCACTTATAATTCTCACCTTCGACGGTGCAGACGGAGTTTGTGCACTAATGGCAGAAAATCTTATCTTCCCCTATAAGGACACAGCAACGACATATTTGTAAGCCATTTTCGCTTCTTATTGCAGTTTTATGATATTATTGCCCTATAAATGAAGGGGCAAAAATACATAAAGTGTATAGTTTAGTATGCATTAATTGGATAAGAAACCTCGTCAGAGGTGTAGTTCTTTTATGCATGACGTCTGTCTCCTACCTAGGTATGTACAATGTAACATAAGTCGAAAGGTCATCAGATTTACGGCAATATCAGGAGATTCGGCAATCATTTCCATGGTGTAAAATGATTAGAAATTGTTTTTATACAACTGGCTTTATTGAAATAATTTAATTTTATGCGAATACTGTATAATACATGACGTGTGAAACTTACAAGGTAATATTCGCGAAATGTAAATTCCTAGGACAAGTTCAACTGCAATTTATCGAAGGCCCAAATAATATATGTATAATAATAATAATAATAATAATATATGTAAATGTTAATTTATGCTGCCAATACTGGGATGCTTGGAAATTATATAAGCTGCACCAAAATGAAAATAGCTTGGCAAGATTCTATGTGGGTCGGCGAAACCAAATTTGATTAAAATTGCTCAAATAGTTTGGGGCTCATACTTTGAATGGGCAGAGAAGATGGACTAACAGATAGTGTTGAAATGCAAGAAACAGGATGTG